CTCGGATCCTGATGCACCTGCAAAGATTGGTCTAGCGAGTTAACATCGGTGGTTCTCAAACCAAGCTGCATATCATTATCACCTAGAGAGCTTTTAAAAAGTATGGTACTCTTGGAAAATCTTATTCAGAATTTCAGGAACGGGGCCCAAGAATTTGTACTTTTGAAGAGCTGCCCAGGAAATCTTGACAGAAGGAAATACTAGTCTCAGTGTATATCGTTACTTATAAGCAGTGAAATGATTAAAGGTAGGCCAGACAATCTTGGGATTGAATTTGTGAAATAAATTCCAAACTACTGATTTTGCTATAAAGTCAAATTTAAGATGGAACTCTAGGTGCGCCTGGGTGGCTCAGTCAGTTAAGCGTCCAACTTCAGCTCAGGTCATGATCTCACCATTCCAGAGTTCAAGCCCCACGTTGGGCTTTGTGCTGACAGCTCAGAGCCTGCGGCCTGCTTCAGATTCTGTATCTCCCTCTCTCGGTCCCTCCCCTGCTCACACTCTGTCTCTCTCTCTCAAAAATAAATACACATTAAAAAAAAAAAATACGATGGAACTCTAGCAGGCAAAAAACAGTCATACAATTCTGGTTGATTAACTTAAGCCTTATGACCTGTGGTTTTTGGGGGGTTTTTTGCTTTTTTGTTTTTTTAATGTTTATTTATTTTGGAGAGAGGGGGAGAGAAAAAGGGAGAGGGGCAGAGAGAGAGGGAGACACAGAATCCGAAGCAGTCTCCAGGCTCCAAGCTGTCAGCACAGAGCACGAGAGATGCGGGGCTCGAACTCAAAAACCATGAGATCATGACCTGAGCCGAAGTCAGACACTCAACCAACTGAGCCACCTAGGGGCTCCTGACCTGTTTTAAAACAAATCATGTTTACAGAATATATAGCAAGGCCCATATGCTTTCAGCACTATATTTTGTAAATTTGGAAGGCTTTCAAAATGCCAAAAAGGTATATGTGTGTGTGTGTGTGTGTGTGTGTGTGTGTGTATAAAAGCACCTGTTTTTAAAAATTTAATTATAAGTCAAAAATATTCTAACTGGTTATTCGAGTCTAAAACTTTAGCTGAAGTTTGGCTATATGGAAATATATCTTCCTGATCAAACCTGATTGGGAAACATAATTAATAATGTATTTTGCAAAAAGTAGCAAATCAGTCTTTGGAGAACATCAGTTTCTTAGTTTTAAAAAATTCTCTTTGTTTTGAAACTATATCATATAGGTACTAAAGCTCATTTTAACTAAAATGACATGAATTTATTTTGTATTTACTTTGCTGTAGATCTGATGTAAATATGCAGGCACTGAATGTAATATAGATTGTGTCAGCAGTAAACTGGTAGATGGATACAGTTTACAAATTATGCCAATTATATACCCTTTTACATTAGGACTCTACGGAACTTACAAAATGACTACTTTCTATATATTTTTTAAAAGGCCTTGGGAGGTGTAGTCAAATAAAAAAATACCTAAGATCTTAAAGAAGAGCAATGCTGAGAGCTTCCACCACCAGAATGGACACTGTAAAGCAACAACTAAGGCAGCATGCTAATGGTACCCAAGGACAGACAGATGATGGAAGAACAGGGTGTCCGGAAACAGACCCACATTTCTGGGGTCTCCTGAGTTATGGCAAGGCTGACACCGCCATGCAGTGGAGAAAACCGTCTTTTTAACAGACGGTGCTGTGTCAATTTCGATAGCCTTGTGGAAAAAAATAAATTTGACCCTATTTCACACCATAAAAAACTTAATTTCAAGTAGATAGACATTAGAATAACAAAAAAACTTTTATTTATTTATCTATTAATGTGTATTTATTTTTGAGAGATACAGAGAGCAAGCGGGGGAGGGCAGAGAGAGAGAGAGAGAGACACAGAATCTGAAACAGGCTCCGGGCTCCGAGCTGTTAGCACAGAGCCCAACATGCTGCTTGAACTCACCACCTGTGAGATCATGACCTGAGCCTAAGTCAGACGCTTAACCAACTGAGCCACCCAGGCGCCCCAACAATAAAACTTTTAGAGGAGAATATAGGACATTCTTTCTGACTTTATCTTCTGATTATTTAAAATTGTGATAGGGGCACCTGGGTAGCTCAGTAGGTTAAGCATCAGACTTTGGCTCAGGTCATGATCTCATGATTCGTGAGTTCGAGCCCTGCATTGGGCTCTGTGCTATCATGCAGAGCCCGCTTTGGATCCTCTGTCTCTTGTGCTCTCTGCCCCTTCTCCACACACTCTCTCTCTGTCTCTCAAAAATAAACATTAAGAAAATAATAAAAATAGGGTGCCTGGGTGGCTCAGTTGGTTGAGTGTCTGACTTCGGCTCAGGTCATGATCTCATGGTTCATGGGTTCGAGCCCCATGTTGGGCTCTGTGCAGACAGCTCAGAGCCCGGAGCCTGCTTCGGATTCTGTGTCTCTGTCTCTCTCTGCGCCTCCCCTGCTCGCGCTCTGTCTCTGTCTCTCAAAATGAATAAATGTTTAAAAAAATTTTTAATAAAAAAATAAAATTGAGACATAATTGACATATAACATAATAGTCTCAGGTGCACAACATGGTGACTCAATATGTGTATATATTATGAAATGGTCACCACAATAAATCTAGCTAAAATCCATCACTACGTAATTACACATTTTTTTTCTTGTAACGAGAATAAATCCACTCTCCTAGCAACCTTCAAATACACAATACGGCTTTTTACTCTAGTTGCTATGGTGTAAATTTACATCCCCAGGATTTATTTATTTTATAACTGGAGTTTGTACCTTCTGACCACCTTCACTCATTTTGCCTACCCATCACCCGTTGGGGTAAATAAAGAGTTTTTCAACTGGCCATAAATAATTCAACCATCCAGAAAAAAAAAAAAAAGGTACCCTGGGCAACATTAAACTGAACTTCTGTTCATCAAAAGATATCGTTAAGGGGTGCCTGGGTGGCTCTCGGTTAAGCCTCCGACTTTGGCTCAGGTTATGATCTCACGGTTCGTGGGTTAGAGCCCCGTGTCGGGCTCTGTGCTGACAGCTAGCTCAGATCCTGGAGCCTGTTTCTGATCCTGTGTCTCCCTCTCTCTCTGACCCTCCCCTGCTCATGCTGTCTCTTTCTCAGAAATAAATAAAACATTAAAAAAAATTTTTTTAAGTCTTCTGACCCATTAAAAAAAAAAGACATCGTTAAGAGAGTGAAAAGGCAATCTCCTGAGAGAGAGAGAAAGACATTTTAAAAATACACATGCAATAAATGTTTCATAAGCAGAATATTTAAGAAGTCTTACAAACTAGTAAGAAAAAGAGACAAGCTACTGAAAAAAATGGGCAGAAGAATTGAACACTTCGCAAAAAGGCTATTATCCACATGCCCAACAGACACGTGAAAAGATGCAGATTCACTAGTTTTAAGAGGAATGCAAATTAACACCTCAGTGCAACACCACAGCCCAGGCACTGAGCAGAATGGCCATGATGAAAAAAAGGGATCATAATGCATATTGGCAAAGGTGTAGAGGAACAGGAACTCACACTGCTGATGGGAGCGCAAATTCGTACAACTGCTTGGGAAAACCATTTGCCACAAAACTATGCTATAGCTGAACGCACCCAGAGATTCCACTTAGGAACCTTCGCATCAGAACTGCTTCTTTATGTTCACCAAAAGACAAGCACGAGTATGCCTCATGGCACTATTTAAAACAACATCAACAACAAAAACAAAAAACCCAAACCCAAACAGGAAAAACAGGAAACAACCCATGTCTGTCAATCCAAGTATCCAGTAGAAAGTAGAAACAAATTGTGCTCTCTCTGTACAGTGCAAAATTATACGTCAGTTGAGAGTGAATTACTGCTAAGTGCAACATGGCCACACCTCCACACACTGTCCATTTGTCAAAAGTTCAAGGCCAAGTAAAACTATTTTATGATGTGAGAAGCCAGGATAATAGTTACCCTTAGGTGAAAGTAGCAATTGGAAGTGGACATGGAAGGCTTCTGGAGCGCTAGTGGTATTTTATTTATTCTGGATGCAGGTTGCATAGGAAATTCACTGTGTGAAAACCGGGTAAGCCGTAAACTTACGGAAACTTACAATTGTGCGCTTCTCTGTATGCAGGTCCTATTGCAATTTTTTTTTAAGTTAAAAAAGTTTAAAAATAGGGAGCCTGGTGACTCAGTCGGTTAAGGGGTTAAGCATCTGACTTCTGCTGTCAGCGCAGAGCCCATTTCAGATCCTCTGCCCCTCTCCTCAGAAATAAACATTCAAAAAAAAAGTTTAAAAAACAACCAACAACAAACTAGATGTGACTTTCCCCGACAGCCAGTCATTCCTGACCCTAGGCGCCCCCTGGCTCAGGTGACCTAGCTACCGCCCGCCTCCGGGCTGCCCCTGTCTCGGTGGCATTTACCAGGGAGAGTTGTAATTTCTAAATTACCAGTCCCCCGGGAGAGGACAGGGCTGCACCTTCCCTGCCCAAGGCTGTCACTCCAGCAGCGCACACGTAGCCCAGCCCTCGGGAGAGGTTCACGAAAGGAGTGCCTCCGTAGGTCACGACCCCTAACGAAAGCCGTCTCCTTGCCGAAACGGCCACACACCGACCCGGCAGAAGGGCAAAGACGGATGCGAGGAGACGGTGGTACAGACACTCTTTACAGTTAAAGATGGAAACAACCTGACCGAGCCGGGCTCTTCAACCCAAACTAAAGAGGGCGGGGGGGAGTTCGTTCCCTGCATGAACTCCTTTGCGACGGAGAAGGTGACAACTTTCTGGGAGAAGCCTCTTCACCCAGTGTCCGTGTTCAGGGTGCTGGAAGCAGCCCGGAAAGTGCAGGAGAGAGGAAGGCGGTGTCCCGGGCAAGGTGCCGCAGGGACCGGGCGAGTCCTGGAGGCACGGCCGGGGCACGGGGGTCCCGCAGTCCCCGGGGACCCTCCTCCGCCCCGCCCACCACCCCCGGCGCAGTGCCCAGTCCCCGCGTCCCAGCGAGCGCTCACCTGCGCGTGGGTGGCGGCCACCCCGCCGCGCGGCTGCTCCGGCTCCCGCGCGGTGCCGGCCACCCCGGCGAGGGGAAGTGCGGCGCGCAGGCCTCTGGCAGCGGCCGTCCGGCTCCCCGGCTCCCCCGGAAGCGGCGAGGCGGCCCGGCCCGCGGCCCCTCCTCCTCCCCGGCCCGCGCCCTGACCCTGCGAGGAGTTCCCGCTGCCGCGTCACTCGGCCCGGGAGCCGCGCCGCGGAAATCTGGAGAAGGGGCTGTCCCCCCCGCGTCCCCCGAAACCCAAACCCACCGGGACACTGCCCCGCGTCGGGGAGAAGGAAAGAAACCCTCGTTCCATTCACTGAGTCCTCTTGACACCCTGCAAGGCAAGACACCGTACCTTTTTTTCTTTTCTGCAATTCAGAAAAGTGGAGCTTGAACTTGTCCAGAGGCCACGCGGTAGGTGGGAACGTGGCTCTCGGATGCAGAAGGATCACCGACGCCGGGCTGGAAGCAGACGCCACACCCCTCGCTGCGCTGCACCCCTGCTGGGATGTGGTGAGCAAGACGTTGGCCGAGTCCAGGTTTAACCAGGGTGCAGGATTCCTTTCCCTGCCCGTTTGCACCGTGATGAACCCGGGTTGGGTGAGGGAGAGAATACAACATGCAGCCTTTCCCGAACTTGTTTCACCGTAGTAGAAATATCAGGGTCTTCCTGAGCAGTGTTCCATGACACGCCAGTTTGGGAAACGCTCCTACAACTGTGCACACGAATGCTTGGAGGATGCAGGTGGTTTAATAGGATAGAAGATTCACGATCTCCCTTTCAGTCTGATTTCCTACTTTCCTCACCAGCCAGCAGAGAGAATTAGTGGCTAACCTTGGCAGGCGGTGTGTTATAAGGCTGGACAGGAGGGCTCTGGAGTAAGATCGCTGGGGTTCACATCCAGAGCTCATCACTTACTAGCCCTCCGACCTTGGAAGTGTGCAGCCTGTCTAGGTTCACTTTACTTATTGAATTACAGGATCTGGTTGTCCCGGTGCTGTGGGAAGGAGTCCGTGACATAAAGAAGGTAGGAAGTACAGGAAGGGTTTCTGGGTTTCTTCTACTCCATGAAACATAACCTCAGCTTCCTCAGCCTTCCCTGCTGGGTGCTTGACCTCTGCTCATCCCTCCACCCACCATGTCCTTCTGCAGTCACACACCCAGTCTTCTGGCAAGGCTCCATTCAGCAGCTGACAAAGGAAATCCTTTCTTAACCCTGCCCCTCCCACCTCCTTCCCTGCAATCCCTGTAGTACCTTGCGTTGTCTGGAGTTGAGGCGATGAGGGTTAGCCCTATTAGACTGAAAAGTCTGAGGCCAAGGATCCCCTCCAGGCTCCGATGCAGAGTTACTAAGGTAAACACAGACAGCTCGGAGTTGGAGCCCAGGAGAAGACGGCTTGGACTCGGACTCTCGGACAGTGGGATAGGGGAGACCTGGATGCAATGGTGACTGCTCTACAAGTTTGAATAGAGCCCTGTGGCTCTCTCTCCCTGCCCCTTCCCTGCTTGCACTCTCTCTCTCTCTCATAATAAACTTAAAAAAAAAAAAAAAAAGCCCTGTGGAAGTATGGAGGATTCATTATTGCGTTCTTAATAAATAAGTACAGTATTTGTCATCTTGAAGTCGCTTCGGGGTGAAGCCAGATGACGCCCATTTCCCTTCCGACCCATAGGCAGGGGAAGTGAATGTTGGGCACCTGACCAGGCTCACTTACAGGGTTAACACGGATGTTGGGTTTGGCCTGAGTTGCCCCTGTCCCATGCTCCTGGCCAAGTTCCTTCCTGTATTTCAGCACTGGTAGCTCTTCTTCTTTTGCTCACCTTATCAGTCCTGACTCTTCCCTACCCCCACCCCCACAGGGGCTCCTCCTGTTACCTCCTTGGCATCTCTCCTGGCCTCCCTGCCTTACACAGCCATCAGTCAGGTCCATCTTTTGTGTTTCCTTCTTCTCCCCAAAGGCCACTCTTCTGAGGAAATGAACACTTTGCTAGCTATTTCTACTCCCATTCACTTCTCCCTTCTGAACAACTGTCACCTGGACCCCACCTTCTTCCCAGAACTGCTCTCCCTCGGGTCCCCACCGACCTACTTGGCACTGATCCAGCCAGCGTGCATGTGTGGGTCTCACTGACCCGTTCCTTCTAGGTTCCCGTGATACCTCATGCTCCTGGCTTTTCTCACGCCTCTCTGGCTGCCTCTTCGGCTTCCTCTCCTTTGGTACCTCCCTTAAATGTCAGTGGGGTCCCTCCAGTGTCCCCTGTGGTTCCCTACTGTTCTCCCCTCGTGTTCACATATCCACAGCCGGGACCATCCCCAGCGCCGTGACAATAAACTCAACTCCCGATGAGACAGCTCTACCAGGCACCCTTGACTCAACAGGTCTCAAACTGCCCCACTCATTTTGTCCCCCACACTGCTCCTCCCTGGCACCCCCACCTCTATGATAAGCAAGACATACATCTAGTTATCCAACCCGCAAGCCTGAGAGTCGTGCTTGATCTAGTTTCTTGTTACTACTGTTGCCTCTTGGATACACAAGCTTCTTGCCATGACAGCAAGGGCCCCATGGTCTCTGCCATCCGGCCTCCTGCTTTGACGCCATAATCTGTTCTCTACAAGACAGTCAGGGTGATTTTTTCCTAAAAGGAAAATCTGGGGCACCTGGGTGGCTCAGTCAGTTCAGCTGCTGACTCATGGTTTCGGCTCCGGTCATGATCTCATGGTTTCTGAGCTGTCAGCACAGAGCCTGCTTGGCATTCTCCGTCTCTCTCTCTCTCTCTCTCCCGCCCTCCACTCACGTGCATACTCTCTCCCTCTCAAAATAAAAAAACTCAAAAATAAATAAGTAAAAGGAAAATCTGAGCATGTCACTTCCCTACTGAAAGCCCATAGACTACATCCCCACCTGGCCCTTCAGCCCCTGGCCCTGCCCTGCTTCTCACTACCCCTCTTCACCCCGTGGTCTAGCCAGGACATCACTTACAGTCCTGGTCTCTTGCTGAGTCCCGGTCCTGGGCATCTGTATACACATTTTCCCCACGGCCTGCGATCCCCACCCCGCCCCCTGGCCCTGCTGCGCCTTCACTTGATTCAGCTCAGAGGTCAACTTCCCCGGGGAAGCTCCAGGGAGACAGGCTCAGCTGAGAGAAGGTGTCCGTGACCTGTGCTTAGTCCCTGCACCGCAGGGACTGTGCTCCACCTGCTCTGGGCGGGGCGGCAGGCAGATTAGAACACTCCAGTGGGGACGGGACGGTGGGGACGGAGCGGATGCCCCGCCTGCGGGCAGATTCTCTGACATGTAGCCCTGGGCCTGGCCACGCACTGGAGCTGAATAAACGTTGAATAAATGAATGAACCATCCACTCCCTCTTCAACTGAAGCCCTGCGGGAACTCAGGAAGAGGAGGCCCCAGCTTGCAAACAAGCTGCCTACACCTAGGAAGTGAGAAAGCTGCCGGCAGGAGACGGCCATGCTCCTCCCAGCAAGCAAATGCTGTGAGGTGAAAGGAGAGAGGGCAGAAGGCTGGGTGGAAAGAGTAATCACATTTATTGACTGATGAGTAGGTAAACAATCACTAAATCTGGGCCAGCCACCCTGGAGGGCTCCCTGCCCAGGCTCTGGGGAGCCTGCCCATTGGGGCAGAGGCAATCTTCCTGGCTCGGTGCCAGGGACAAGGCGGTCTTGGACCACGTGCTCAGGTGTTCTGCCAGTGGCACTGCCTTGGCGGGTGGTCCTGGGGTCTTACCCCCACACTCTCTGTTGGCCTGGGCCTCACCCGGTGGGGACAGGAGAGATGGAGAGCCTGGCCGGGTGCTGGGGCGGAACCCAGCAGTGAGGAGGATGAGAATGGAGGCCACGGGTGGCAGACAGGGTGGCGGGGCCCAGCGAAGAGCTTACGGGCTCAGATGATGTTGTGCTCCTGAACCTTCTCTCCCAAGTAAAAGCGACTGAAGAGGAAGGAGCTCAGGTTGATGGTCCTGAAGTGGCCCTCCAGCACCATCTCCGCCACAGCCCGCCCCACGGCAGGGGCCTGCTGGAGCCCGTGGCCACTGAAGCCCGTGGCAAAGTACATGTTGAGGACCAGTGGGTGGGGACCCACGACGCCATTCTGGTCAAAGGTGTTGTAGTCATAATAGCCAGCCCAGGCGCTCCGAACCTGCGGGCATATGAGACACTGGGGCGTCTGGGAAGGTGCCGACACATGTCACCCTCACCCCTGCTCTGGGACAGATGCAGCCCCCTCTCCCAGACACCGAGGGATCAGTGGGACGGCTCCCTGGACCAAGAGTCCTTAGCAGTTGTGAGGCAGAGGGCATGGGGCAGCGGACAAGCGCTCCAAGGGCACCCAGGTGCTCCAGGCTCCTCCGGCTCCTAGTTACCTTCAGACTTTCAAAAGCCGGGACCCTCTGGGCCAAAGTGGGCCACACCCTGTCCTGGAAGAAATCATGGTCTACCTCCAGGTTCCCTGGGTCCGGTTCCTCCTCCTGCAGTGAGAGGTGGCGACATGGCTTGTGTTGCCTGGGACACAAGGGCTGACGCAGACCTCAATGACCCCTTTACTCGATGCCCTCGGTAGGTGGGGATGGGGAGAAAAGATCCCAGTTCAAACCCAGAGGGGCTGCGACATCAGTGAGAGCGCTGGGCCGTCCACGGAGCCTGCCTCTTCGATGACAGTGGCCTACGTCTCCTGCCCAGCACCCCAACCTCGCCTGGCTTACCTCAGTGGGGCTACAGCCGCCCAGGTAGTTCTGGCCTAATCCTTCTCGGCGGAAATAGGTTCCACTGGGGTCGATAACGAATGGGGTCTCCAGGCCTGGTCCCTGGGGGCAGTGCCACAAGTACACATACCTGCCACAGCCAGCAGCTTAGGAAATGCTGGGAAGAGTGCCCCCCTTCCCGTCGCATCTACCAAACTCTTACGTTGCTTCTTTCCCTCTCTCGCCAACCTCCTCAGCTGCCCTGAGGCAAGTCACCTTTTCCTCAGCTCCACAGGTAGCTTGGTGCCCTGCAGGGTGCCGGGTGGCCCCTTCCCGATGCCAGCCAACTCTGCAACCTGGCCGGACCAGGCACCTGCCGCATTGATCACGATGGCACATTCCACGGGCTGGTATTCCAGGCTTTGGTCTATCTTCACCTGCAGGCACCAGAGGGGAAGGGGAAGGAGGGCCTGGCCCACACACTGGGCCCCGTGAGAGGTACATTTCTTCCAGAGCCTTACTCTACCCAGACTGGAAGTGGGTGGAGAAAGATCAAAACGACAGTTGTTAATCTTTCCCATGCCTCCACTTTGGTAAGGAAGGTGCACAGGCCGGGAACTTACATGGACTTCGTGAATTCTTTTCAAATTCACTTTCTCCCCACTCACGGTCTCCACATGGTTAGATGAAGACACGAAACCTGCAGGAAAAAGAAAAGAAGAGGTCCTGAGGCCTGAAGGGGACAAGATTGGGGTTCCGTGGGTTTTGTGAGGAAAGCAGAGCTGGAAGACCGGAGCTTTCCCACAAACAGAAATGGAGGAACTGGCATGAACTTGACCTCACGCAAGACAGGAGCGGACCGAAACCTTCAAGCACATGAGCTGTGCAAAATCCTACTTAGGAGCTCAGGCCCAGGCCTCAGGGAGAACCCCGTCCCCCACCAACTCTTGCTTAGCTCTCAAGGGAAGATAAGACCTCCTCTAGGCCTGTGGCCCAGCTGGCAGAGGAAAGGAGCAGTGGGCACGGGGCCTTGGACTCACGTGTCACCTCTCCGTGGCAGAAAAGGACCCCCATGGACTGGACCTTTCGGCGAAGCCCCTGGAGCAGAGACCAGGGGTCAAACCAACCTTCCTGCTCCATCCCTGTGATAAGAGGACTCATGAGCCGGGATTACCACCCTCCTCTCCTATTGGATTTCCTGCACCCCCAACTCCTCTTTAGGGCTTGTCAGCCAGGGAAAGTCATGTTGACCGAGTGCACCAGAGTCAAATCCTGTGGAAGGACAGACAGCTAGTGGGGCCCGAGGGAGGCTCTGCTGGCCAGGAGGAGACACTGCTCCTCGATGTGGTTACAGGGTGCTGGGACTTCCGACCTGAGGCACCCCTCAACCCCTGATCCCCTCTGCAAGCAGGTTTTACCATAAGATGCCAAAGCCACGCCCTCTGTGTTTATCCAGGGAAATTTGTTCCGAAGCTGCTCAGGAGACATCAGGGAAACTTTGGCTCCTTCCTGCCTGAGAGAAACGTGTGGCTGTATGCATGTGTGTCAGAGGTAAGGCAGGGGGGCGAAGCATGGACCCCAACTCCACAAGGGGGGATTCGGACTCATTCATGTGACTTCTCTGCCCCCAACCCCCCAAGTTCTCCTCCCTGCTGAATGGGTAAAGGCCAAGCCTCCTGGCCACAGGTCTTCAGCATCTGAGCCGTCTTTCCTTTCCTATACGCTGGTATCCCTTTGACCACACTAAACTCCCTATCCCCCCCCTAACTATTCTGTGTCCTTTCACAACCAGGGCAGACCACTGTGTTCCCTCTGCTTGTCCCCTTCCCTTCTGTCTGAAATGGCCTTCCCGTCTACCTTCTGGTATTGTCCTGTTCACCAGGGACCATATCTCCTATGGGACTGTCCCCGAAAGGAGCAACGCAGATCCTAAAACAACACACTCGCATGCCAGACTGCCTGGTTCAAATCCCAGTGTCACCACTTGCTAGCTACCTCATGCCTTACTTTACCCACATGTGAAATGGGGATGTTTTGGTCACTAAATGAATAAATGCCACATCTGGGACATTACCTGATGTCCCTAATGAGACCTGCAAGGCTATTTGTTAAAGACACATGCTCCTGACTGATTGATCACGAGACTCACTCAGGAGAGGGCGCGCCCAAACCAGCCTGCACCTGAGTCACACTGATTCGTTTCTGTTTTCACCTATATCTTGTCTCTGGCTGCTTCTGTTTCAACTACAAAGCTGAATGATGGCAGCATTCATATGGCCCCCAAAGCCTAAAATGTGTGCTATCTGGCCCTTGCAGGAAAAGTCTGCAGACTTCTGGGCCCTTCCCTAGAGGCTCTGGCTGATTAGGCCTGGGATTTCCCAGGTGGGTCCTGTGATCCGGCTGGTTTAGGAACCACTGCAGCAGTATGCTGTCCGTATCCATGTTCGAGCAATGAGCACAGGGTTCTGGAGGTCTGCGTGTGTCTGTGCTTCCTGACAGACGGAGCTCCTCCACAGCAGTGACTTGTCTCGTTGACCCCCACCCCCACCCCACACCGGGTCTCTGTTCCTAACGTGGTGTGGGCACTGGCGGCGTGCTTGCAGCTGAGGAGCAGCGGGGTGGTCACACCAGGCACCCACCTCTGCACCTTCACGTTGTTCTCCATGATGGCAGCCCCCTTTTCTGAAGCCAGCAAGAGATAGCCCGAAGGGTTGAACTGGATGTCCAGGGGAGGGTCAACTACGGCCAAGTACTCCTGGGGGGTGGGGGGGAGGGGTGTGTGTGTGTGTGTGTGTGTGTGTGTGTGTGTGTGTGTAAAGAGAAAAAAAAAGTTCCTTAGAGAATCTGATTTAAAGGAGGAGGGAGAGCTTTCCTGGCCTCCTCACCACCAGCTCCCAGGGCTCAAAGAAGCCCCACTCTGGATACCACCACTGGGGAGAAAACTGGTGGTTCCAATTCCTAGTGGCCCCAACTGCTTCTGCTCCCTGATCCCCCTGGCCAGCTGGGCTGCCCCTCTCTCTGGGCTAAAGGAATGCTCACCACCCCAGGCCCCAAATCTCTTTGCACATACGTTGATGTTCCGTAGGAAGTCAATTGAAAAGAGGGAGAGCTGGACGTTCTCAGGCACCGAGAACTGCTGACGAATCCCGCCCACGGAAAGCACAGTGGAGGCCCGGGAATACTGTGGAAAAACCAAAGTAGCTGAGGGAGGTCAGTACTCAGTCACATGGGAGCAGAATACTGGTACGGAAGAACCTACGGATTATGGGGAGTCCCACTTGGCACGTTTATAATCTAAGAGGAGTTGAGGTGGATAAGCCCATATGCAAGTCCACCAACACCCAAAGAGAAAAACGATTATTAAAATTCTTCTTAGCAGATGTGCAGACAAGAGAGAGCCAGTTATCCAAAAGGGCTGGGCACTGGGACACAAAAATGGTAATGGCCTGCAAGTCCAAGGGTGGGAGAGTAACACTTCATCTACTGATTGGAAAACAAGAGGGAGGGGCGCCTGGGTGACTCAGTCGGTTAAGCGTCGACTTTGACTCAGGTCAGATCTCACGGTTCATGGGTTCGAGCCCTGCGTTGGGCTCTGTGCTGACAGCTCAGAGCCTGGAGCCTGTTTCAGATTCTGTGTCTCCCTCTTTCTCTGCCCCTCCCCCACTCATGCTCTGTCTCTCTCTCTGTCTCAAAAATAAACTATATGGGGTGCTTGGGTGGCTCAGTCAGGCGTCCAACTTCAGCTCAGGTCATGATCTCACGGTTCATGGGTTTGAGCCCTGCATCGGGCTCTGTGCTGACAGCTAGTTCAGAGCCTGGAGCCTGCTTCAGATTCTGTGTCTCCCTCTCTCTCTGACCCTCCCCTGCTCATGCTGTCTCTCTCTCTCTCAAAAATAAAATATTTTTAAAAAAACTATAAAAAAAATTAAAAAAAAAAAAAAAGGAAAACAAGAGGGATACGACCAAACTAGTAAGATCTGTGGCAAACTCTTAATGGCTGATATCGGAACATCTAAAGTGCAAAAGCCCAGAAATAATGGAACTTGGAAGCTGGAGGGGAAAGCCGTTCGTTTTGATTACAGCGGGAATGCAGGGCGCCTATGGGCGTCCAAAAGATCCGACATTGTGGAATGTACTTTTAAAAGCAACAACTTTACGGCCAAAGTCTCTAACTTGAGGGAAGAACCTGGGACTATTTCTCAACAAGAGTCAAAGTACAGTCCCTGCCCTTTAGACCTCCAAAGATTGAAGTCTTTCCTCCCTCCCCCTCCCGTTGCCCCTTAATAAAATATGAGTCCATGCCCCAGTCATGATGCCACCCTACCCCACACCTCACCGTGTGGTCCCGTTCCACCACCAGCACCCGAATGGCACCTCGTGGCTTCTCCAACTTCTTCAGCCAATAGGCCACGGACAGGCCAAGCACCCCACCCCCCACAATCACCACATCCGCGCGCTCAGGGGGCAGGTAGCTGGTGTCGTACAGTGGATCCCAGGTCCCGCCGGGCAGGATTGACTGGATCTTCTTCTTAATCTCGGACACCTTTCCATCCCAGCCTATGGGACACAGTTATAGTCAGAGGGCCATACATTTTCTTTGCAGGTGGTAGGGGGTTAGAGGGTGGGCACAGGAAAAGATTTGCTAAACAGAAGTGGACACTGAGCTGGCTATTCCCATGGCCATCCCTTCTCGTAAGGTCAGCCCGCAACCAGCAGTATTCCATGGCTTCACTACGTGGTCTATGTGCCATTAGGCTCTCTCCACTTCTCACGCGGCATGCCCAGCACTGCAAGACTCAACTTGTCAAAATGAACCCTCCATACTCTCTCCCTAGGCCAGGTAACTTGTGCATGTTTATCTCCTGTGCAGACTGCTCCTTCCCCTGAGTCTGGCGCTCATATATTCAGCTGCATTGTCCTTTCCTCTTGGATGTCCCAGGCTCCTAGACCAATAGGTCTCGGCAAAGCCCAAGCTGTAGTGTCCTCTGAAGCACAATACCTCTGAGTGGCATCTCATCCTGGACATCCATTACCACCAGCAAAGCTACATTCATGTCCCATCTATTGTCAAGTCCAGATGTCTTCGCCTCCTAAAGAGCTCTCCAATCTGTCCCCCTTCTTCCCCATCTCTGCCACCACCACCTTAGCCCGAACTACCATGATCTCTCACCTAGACTAATGCAAAAGCTTTACTGTTCCCACTAATTCCCCTTACCGCCAGACCCTCCTGTGTCATAGCTAGAATATTTTCTAAGCACAATAATTTAATCACATATTCTCCCCCTGCTTAAAACCTTCTGATGGCTTTCCATTACTCTAAGAATACAAGCCCAATATCTTCAACATGGCCTATGAGGCACGGCACAATCTGGCTCTGGTTTATCTTCTTCTCTCCTCACTCCCCGACTCCAGCCCCTTCGACACCTTGACGATGCCTTATTTCTTCCCACCGCAGGGAATCTACACAGGTGTTCTCTCTGCTTTGAAACCGTGTCCACTTCTTTGCCTGGTTAACTCCTTGCTTCTTTTTGCTTTCAGCTATCATTTTCCTGATATAATCCTTTCCTGACTCTGTGGACTGTCAGAATCTCCTGTCACGCGGTCTCATTAGTTCATGCAACACAATTGCCATTTTATGTGGGATTGTTTCACATGGTACTAAGCCTGCCTTCTTTCCCAATCAGTCTTCAGCCTAGCACAGAACCTGCTACATAGTCAGTGCCTCGTATCAGTGAATCCTTTCACGCCTAACTTACAAATCTCTAAGTCTTCTCACCGACTCCAGTACAAAGTTCAAACTCTTCTCGGCAATGCTAAAATCTTTCTTTGATCAAGGCTTACCTTACTTCTCCACACTACCATTGCCTCTTTCTGCACAAACTCTGTACCTACGTGGCTTTTGCTAGCTCCCTGAACAAAACCAATACTTCTAATTTTCGCTAGGTTCCCAGAACCTGAAACACACCTTCCTTGAGCCAGTAAACAATATCCCTCAAGGCTGATCCCAGTTCTCATCTGCTCACTGTACTTCTCCAATTACACTAGCTTCGGGGACCGGCAGCGCAGGGCATTTGTCCAAGTTGGATTCTATCCGGTCTTGAACCAGTCTATTGAGGTTTTCCGCCTCCAGCTGCACTCCAAGCACCTCCAGGACGCATACTGAATCAATCCTCTTTCTCTTCTTCCGTCCTTAACAGCCACACACTAAGCACAGCATCCTGCACGCGAGCAGGGCTTAACGCACAGCTCTGTAACCAATCAACCTGGCTCTCTGTTATGCTGGTGGTAAACTGGGGCGGAGAACGATCTGGGATTTGTGGCCTGAGAGGGGCATCCTGGGATGCCCAGGCTTTACAAGCTCCGGCAGGCAAGCTTATCTCCTTCTCCCAGCCAACCCGCTGTCTTTATTTACATCGTGGGCCGGGTCCTGACCTGAAGGTCACATAGCTGGAGATTGGGGCCACCCAAGAACCATGATACCCTCCGCGGCCCTCCACTTTACCCAGAGTAGAGCCTCCTCTGTGTGTGCCGAGACCCCGGCCCAAGGGGCCTCCGCCCAAGCCGAGAAGCAACGCCCTGCGAAGCATGGCCACTCTGCGCCCCAGCCCTCTGAGAGACCCCCACCCCTACTCCCTACGCAAGCCCCCACCCTGCCGTCACTTCTCAGCGCCGCAAGCCGTTCAGACGAGCGCGCCCATTGGCCAGCAGGCCCTGAGGGCCCCGCCCCTCGGCGCTGTAGGCCGTCCTCTCCGAGAGCCCCGCCCAGGCCCGCCCCCACCCGCCATTGGCGATCCTGGTGCCTGCGTCAGTGTTGCGCGCCCTCGGGCAGAGGCGGAGAAAGAACACAGCAGCTCGGAGCGGAAGTGCGGCTGAACCGGTTTCCGGGGCTGCTGGTGTGACGTGTCCCGCGCTTGGCGCAGCAGGAAGCGGCGGCGATCGCGGCCTGAGTTCCCGGCGCCGGCCCCGGCTCCTTTCCCGCTGCCGCCATGCTCGACTTCTTCACCATTTTCTCCAAAGGCGGGCTTGTGCTCTGGTGCTTCCAGGGCGTGAGCGACTCATGCACCGGGCCCGTTAATGCGTTGATTCGTTCTGTGCTGCTGCAGGTATCGCCCCCGCGGGATCAGAACTCTGGGCTCGGCCCCCTGACCCGACCCATAGCCCCCTCAACTGATCCCAGGCCTCCCTCCCACATTCTCCGCTCCTCCCAAAGTGGCCAGTGACTCGTTGCCAGGACTCCGCTTCCCTCTCCCGATCCGCTGGGACCGCCTCGCAACTTTGCGACGCCCCCTCCCCCTCCATTTCTGGGACTCTAGCGGAATCCCGGCGCCTCTTGAGATTTCCTAGTTCCCTCCATTGGCCCCCTAGCAGCTTGATTTTCTGTTGTGTCGAAGGCCGGGTGCCGGTGAGATGATGAAAAACCGCCTTTAAAAAGCTGTAAATAGCTATCGCTGCTAGTAAATCTGATTGTGTGATTACGTCTCTTCTGGCTCCCACGTGTCTTGCCTTCCCTGTAACCTCTTTTTACCTTAGCCGTCCCCTCCCCCCCAACTTGGCAGCTCCTTTTCTCCCTGATGGGATGCTAAACAGCGATGCCCCAGCATCCTCGTCCTGGGGACAGGTTTGACTTTGAGGGAAGTGTCTGGTTCTTTCCCATAGGTAGTCCTTGAGGGGCCCAAGTCTGGGTTTTCTGGGTAGTACGAACTCTACCTCTTTTTTTTTTTTTTCCAGGAAAGGGGAGGTAACAACTCCTTCACCCATGAGGCACTCACACTCAAGTACAAACTGGACAACCAGTTTGAGCTGGTGTTTGTGGTAAGTGGGGGTATTTTAGAAGGCTAACGATTACACTTTCACCACAGTCCCCATTAAGAGAACCTTCATTAACTGTGTCCAGTGTATTCGGTGCAGTAACTGAGAAGACAGAAGGTGGAGGAGGAAAGGGAAGACGTTCCTGAGCCCAGGCACAGACCTTGGCTGCCCCTCAGGTCAGGGAAACCTGCCAGGCCACTGAGCTAGTCTCTGGAGGCCTTGGGTGAGTTGGCTTGTAAGCAGATCTGTTGGCTCTGTTTCTCTCCCTGAACAGGTTGGTTTCCAGAAGATCCTAACACTGACGTATGTAGACAAATTGATAGATGATGTGCACCGGCTGTTTCGGGACAAGTACCGTACAGAGATCCAGCAGCAAAGTGCTTTGAGTCTATTGAATGGCACTTTTGATTTCCAAGATGACTTCCTGCGGCTCCTCCGGTGAGAGGCCTCCCCTCTGCACAATTGATTTCCATGATCTGATGTGCTCCCTTCCTTCCTGAGGGCAGGTGAAGGGTAGTGAATCGTTTATCAAAACACAATTTGCTGCCCAGTTCCAACGGACCTCTTGGTGTGAGGGTCCTTTCTATGGACTTTGATCATTCTCTTCTTTCTAGTGAAGCAGAGGAGACCAGTAAGATCCGTGCTCCCACAGCCATGAAGAAATTTGAAGATTCCGAAAAGGCCAAGAAACCTGTGAGGTCCATGATTGAGACACGGGGTGAAAAACCCAAGGAAAAAGCAAAGAACAGCAAAAAAAACAAGGGGGCCAAGAAGGAGAGTGAGTTTGAGCTCTTTGGACACGGCAGGACTGAAAATGTTCTGTCTTTCCCTTTGTCGTTGCTTATCCTCCTTGCTCAGATGCCCATCACCTGATCATCCCCAGTCCTTGCAAGCCCCAAGATGTTTGTTCCTTAGCTTCCTCTTAAGGATTTGGAAGACTGTTTCCCGTTGTAGAAATTTGGTTGTTTTTCTCCAGTGAGTTTTGTCCTAACAGGTTCTGACGGCCCTTTGGTTACCAACAAAGCAGTCCCTGCTGAAAAGTCAGGTCTCCCAGTGGGGCCAGAGAATGGGGTAGAACTTTCCAAAGAGGAGCTGATCCGCAGGAAGCGAGAGGAATTCATTCAGAAGCACGGGAGAGGTATGGAGAAGTCCAGGTGAGCATTCTGTCACCACAGATGTTGTTATCTAGCCACATTGGGGGCAAGGGAGCTCTTCTCCCTGGCTCTTGGGTGGATGTTTCTTCTCCCACCTAACCATAACCCTTTGTGCTATAATCCTTTGCAGCAAGTCTATGAAATCAGATGCTCCAAAGGAGAAGGGTAAAAAAGCACCCCGGGTATGGGCACTAGGTGGCTGTGCTAACAAGGAAGTCTTGGATTATAGCACCCCCACCACCAACGGAGCCCCTGAGGTTGCTCCACCTGAGGACATCAACTTGGTAAGAGGCAACAGGGGCCAGTGAGGGTTGCCATTAATAAGCAATGGGGAGGAGGTAGAGACTAGGAGGGTAGTACCTACGGTTGCTTTGAGTGAAGGAGTGGGTTACATTTGGAGTTTTCCAAATCAGAGACCGAACACCGAGAACAGGGTAAATCCCAGGCTTCTTTCCCTTCAGCCCTTGAGAGTTCCTGGTCCCATCTTCTTCCTTCTCCTGTACCCTCCAGATTCGAGGCAGCGGGCCTGGGGGACAGCTTCAGGATCTGGACTGTAGCAGCTCAGATGATGAAGGGGCCGCTCAAAACGCCACCAAGCCTAGGTAGGGGAGTTGCAGCTGGTGGGTGGGATGTGCGGCTCCAGAACAGATGAAACTTGACTCCTGTCCACTGGCTTTGTATGAATCCGTGATTTCCTGTGCCTGCAGTGCGACCAAGGGAACTCTGGGTGGCATGTTTGGGATGCTGAAGGGCCTTGTGGGGTCCAAGAGCTTAAGTCGGGCGGACATGGAATCCGTGCTGGACAAGATGCGTGACCATCTCATTGGTAAGTTCTGAGGAACAGGTGGACTTGTGTGTACGAGGCAGGGATGGCGGAGAGTAGAACCACCAAGAAATCTCGGCTATACCGTGGGTTGTTTACCAGGGGCGTGGCACTCACACACCTGTCCATGTCTCTCCAGCTAAGAATGTGGCAGCAGACATTGCAGTCCAGCTCTGTGAATCTGTGGCCAACAAGTTGGAAGGGAAGGTGATGGGGACATTCAGCAGTAAGTATCTCCCTAAACCACAAAGTGCTCAGGGCATTATGCTTCCTAGGAGGTGAAGAGCATTGCTCTCCATTCTTGCTAGGTGTGTGGCTTCTGGCAAACTCCTTCACCTCTAACCGTCTTCTGCGGAACTTAGACTTTTAAGAGTTAACACAACTCCATGAGTTAACACTTGTAAAGTGCTTGGAACATGACCACCTGTGGTGTGGATTCCTGGGACAAGGTCCTAGCTCTGTTAGGTGCTGGTTGTCCTTGGAGTACGTTCCTTGGGTTTCATAGACCCATCTTCCCCTTTGCAGCGGTGACTTCCACAGTGAAGCAGGCCCTGCAGGAGTCCCTGGTGCAGATTCTGCAGCCACAGCGTCGTGTTGACATGCTGCGGGATATCATGGATGCCCAGCGCCATCAGCGCCCTTACGTTGTCACCTTCTGCGGTGTCAATGGAGTGGGGAAGTCTACTAATCTTGCCAAGGTCCGTGCAGCTCCCCATTCTCTTCACTCCACGTCTTAACTCTTGTTCTAGGTGACTGGTTTGTTTTTTTTTTTTTCTTTTGCACAGATTTCTTTCTGGCTATTAGAGAATGGCTTCAGTGTCCTCATTGCTGCCTGTGACACATTTCGTGCCGGGGCTGTGGAGCAGCTGCGTACGCACACCCGGCGTCTGAGTGCCCTGCACCCCCCAGAGAGTCACGGTGGCCGCACTATGGTGCAGTTGTTTGAAAAAGGCTATGGCAAGGACGCTGCCGGAATTGCTATGGAAGCTATTGCGTTTGGTACGGCGCAGAGAAAGTGGGGGAGCTTGTGTGGGCCCCATCGCTCCTTGGGTTTCCTTGGGATTGGCAGAGAGTCAGGGTTACCCTCCTACCAACTTACTGCTCGATGATGAGTCAGGACTGGGAACTTGCAGTGCTCTGTTTTGGGTAACAGGAAGCAAAAGTGCAGGCAAAACTAATAATTCCCACCAAAGAAACCTCTGGTCTCCTGTTGCCATCTTTTCCTGAATGTTCTTGACTGCCAAAAACAGAATAATTTTTTGCTAATAGAACCTTAAACACATAGGCTTTTAATACAGCTGGGTTATGACTTCTTGAGAGAAAGCTGGGAATGAGCAGGACATTCCAGACATTTTCAGTTGACCACTTTTTTTTTACCCTCTTTCTAGCACGTAACCAGGGCTTTGATGTGGTGCTGGTAGACACAGCTGGCCGCATGCAAGACAATGCCCCTCTGATGACTGCCCTGGCTAAGCTCATTACTGTCAACACACCCGACTTGGTGCTGTTTGTGGGGGAGGCCTTAGTAGGCAATGAGGCCGTGGACCAACTGGTGAGGGCTAGGGCCTAGTTCTTTCCCCAGCCTTATCTTTGGACAGTTGGGTACTTCTTATACTTGTATCATGTTTCTCCCTCACAGGTCAAGTTCAACAGAGCCTTGGCTGACCATTCTATGGCTCAAACACCTCGGCTCATTGATGGCATCGTCCTTACCAAATTTGATACCATTGATGACAAGGTAAATATGGATGATACAGAATAGAGTGAGTGAGATGGAGGCAGGAAGGGCAGCCTTTACGAGGGAACTGATGCTGTAAGGATATGTTGTTGGCTCAAAAGATTCCTATTACTGAGGGGATAGAAAGTGGCCTTGAGTTGATTGGGTATCCCCTTTCTCCCCTTCAGGTGGGAGCTGCTATTTCTATGACCTACATCACAAGCAAACCCATCGTCTTTGTGGGCACTGGCCAGACCTACTGTGACCTACGCAGTCTCAACGCTAAGGCTGTGGTGGCTGCCCTCATGAAGGCTTAAAATGGCTCTTGCCGAAAACCAAATCACTGCTTCCCCCCAAAGTCCCCCTGCATCAAGAATGTGCTTTAGAGTATGTGAGTGACCTCTCTTCAGTGTAGTACAGAGGCAGGGTGAGGGGAGCTCCAGGGGCTGTGGCTCCCCCTGCCCCACTCCTTGGCAGCCCAGCTTCTACATGCGAGGAGGGCCTAATCATGTTACAGTCACTGCCCATCACCCCCTTCCCTGACAACCCCCACCGCTCCCCCAGGCAGTCCCTTCCCATCACTCTGCCTACACTCAGTCTCACTACAGCTCTGGCCAGCAGCTGGCAGATCCAACATCAGAGCTTCGCTAATTCGCACGGTCACAGGGATGTCTGAGCACAATGAACAGTCTGAAGTCCCAGCTTGAATAGGTTAAGAGACTTCCAGAGCCAGCTCTGGGTTCTCCCTTGGATACACAGCTTCAGGTCCCTGGGGCCAAGATGATATCCACCACACTGTGGCAGAGTATGGCCTGTTCTTAATTGCTGCTAATTCCGATGAGACCCCCATCCCCGTTGTTTCCTCAAAGCATCAGCCAAGGCCAGAGTGATTTATTACATATGAACAAAAGGAGTTCCTGCTTCTCAAAACTAAAGGGAGCTGAGCTGCAGTGTTGCATCAGGCTTCTCAGCCTTCCAACTCTTCCCTGCTCCCAAAATCCAGATGTAAGCTTTGCATGTTCCCCTTCCCGGGAGAAAACCATCAGAAGGGTAGATGAGTTGCCCCTTGCCCCGACCCCACTCTTCACTTGAGCGAATCCTGCCTTTTCCTCTTCCTCTCTACAGTGCCTGGTAGACAAGTGCTACATTGAAGAATACAAACCTCTTGTTAAGACTTGTCCTGTAGCTTGGTATTACAGATGTGCTATTAGTGCAATAAGGTGAAGGCTGTCTGCCCAGAGAAATACATAATTTATATAAGAAAATAAATTTCATAAATAAATTGCCTTTTATGTCTTGGAATTCTTTTATATAGGATTCAAATCTAAGATCCCACATCATGCTAACTATGGTTCTAGGCCTTATGGTACAAAGGGAAACAGAGCAAGAAGTGGTAATGAATGGTTGTCCAGAGAACAAGCTCACCCACCTCAATGTGAAAGAACAGCACTTTTAAATTAAGGTGCAAAAACTAGGCTCCTCTAGTGCCTCTGCAGGTTTGTTTTCTAAAGGGACTCTAAAAGTAGAGCCAGGGCCCTGGGAAGTAAATGAACAAGCTTTTAATACAGCTCAGTTATGTAAAATACTGTACACTGTAAAAGGTCTAGAAAACTAGAGCTTCAAGTCATGTTTTAAAAAAGCCATTAAGCTTAATTGAAAAACCAAGTATAGAGTACAAAACTGCAACAAGGGCCGTGACGGTCCCGCGGCATCCAGATCCCAAGTCCTTCATGCAGGGCTGTAGCCAGTCAGTGGAGGTGTCGCACTGATCTGCTGTGTGGACACAGGCATGTCCACCCAGGGGTGGGGGAGCTGCATTGGATCCCATTGTCACTGGGGGATTCTTGAACTGGAATAGGCCGCAGAAGATCAAGAACCAGTGGGCATGAAGGATTGAGGTGAAACACCCCCTATCCCCAACTCTACCCCCAACCTTCAACCGCTGGGTTTTGGTACTTCCAAAGAGCTGTGTTGGGTTGTTTGTACGTTTACTTGTTAAATACTCTCCACAGTCGGGCCTGACGGTTTGGTCTAGTGGTGATGATCTCTCTGGCCCTCTCATGTCCTACAGTCTGTGGAAAGAAAGAAAAGAGAATAAAATGAAGTCTCATAAAACAGATATATACATCTGAAGCTGCAGATATTTAAGTCAAGCTTAACCCGCCACAAGACAAGGCATCACAGATACTAGGAATCTTGTGATAGACTGGACAGGAAAATACAGAATCCCTAACAGGCAGGAGAGGTGAATCATTCTCCAAGGTCTTAACCAAACCCCAGGGAGACATTTTCTGCCAACAAAACTGACAAACAATAGACCAGGAAATAGTATACCTCTTATTTCACTGTGTGCTGTAGACGAGCCATTGAGCTGACCTTCTCTCACCATCCCTGCTAAACAGAATGCACATTAGAATCAGATGTTAGACTGGGAAGCCAAAACATTATTTTTTAGACAGCATGTGAATGGGAGATGGGGCAAAGGAAGGGAGAGAGAGAATCCCAAGGAGGCTCCATAAGTGTGGAGCCCAACGCGGGGCTGGAGCCAATGACCCTGGGATCACGTCCTGAGCCCAAATCAAGAGTCAGACACTCAAGCGACTGAATCACCCAGACACCCCAACTCAATGGAATGAAAACCAAGCAACCAAAGGGTAATAAAATCACATGGTCTAATAAGAATGGCATTATTTAGTAATGAATACATCACAGAAGAAGATAAGGAGGTGGAGAGAATGAACTGGATTAGTCTTCAGACTACATTAAATAACGGACGCGGTAAGTCTGTGCTAACACTGGTTGTAAACAAAACATTAAACGGGCAGTGTGCCTGTTGTCCCTAGCTCCTCAAAAAGGCCAAGCTGAGGTAAAAATCCAGGGATGGAGATGGGGAGCAGCATGCAAGTGAGCAATCTCAACTAAGTAGATGAGTGAAAAGCAGCAGATGCTCTGACAACACAAAAGGAGTTAATTCTGAGCTGTCCAATATGGTGCTGTTGGCCACACGTGGCTATACAGTCTTATGTTAGAAATTCTGTTCCTTAGTCACACTAACCACATTTCAAATGCTCAACAGCCACATGAGGCATTTGGTTACGCTACTGGACAGAGAAGATAATAGAATATTTCTATCATTGCAGAAAGTTCTATGGGACAGCCCTGAGACAGATAATAGGGTAGGAAAAAGTTTAAAACTGAACACATGGAAAAAAACAGTAATCAGAATTATGACCATTTAGAGTACAGATAAATAAAGGATAGCACTCATACTATAAATTAGTGTTGATATTCCTCTATCTTAAAAAGAACTTTTAGCAGGATGCCTGGGTGCTCAGTTAAGTGTTCAACTCTTGATATCGGCTCAGGTCATGATCCCAGGATCGTGGGATCGAGACCCATGTCGGGCTCCATGCTGAGCTCGCTCGCTCTCTCTCTCTCTCTCTCTCTCTCTCCCCCTCTGTCCTCCCTTCCTTGTGTAAAAATTAAAAAATAAATAACGTTAGCAAAAGTTATCGACGATTAAAATACTCATTCCTTTGACTAGTGATTATACTATGAACCCATCCTAAGGATATTACTGGCAAAAGGAAAAACTACATAAAGATGAAGATATAAATCATCACAACAATACTTAAAATAGAAAAAACTAGAAGAATGCTAACATAGGGGACAAATAAGGTAAATTAACACCCCCACTGGATTATGACACAGCCATTAAAAATAGTGGTTATGAAAACTAGCCATGTGGGAAAATGTAGATGTACCACTGAATAAAAAATGTACCAAGACTACGTATACTTTGTTTACAACTATGACAAAATGTACAGGGAAAATCGCTAATTAGAAATATACCAAAATAACTGCTTGTATTATGATAATGAATTATAAAAGAATTATTTTTCCTTTCCCCATTACTTGATTTTTCTGAAATAAATGTACTAGATCCTACAGAATCATTTGAATCCAAGTAAATTTCACTATGCAAAAGCAAGTACAGTACAATGCCAGGAATTGTACTGAGAATGAAACCCAATTTCATTCTCAAAATGAAATCATGTTTTTAACCTAAAACTACTTGGCTAGATTTCAAATCACAAACTCAGTTGACCACTCGAATAAAGCCCCCTGGCAATACTGAAAATCCTTCATTTTTAAAAAAGTTCAGAATACCCAACTGAGTGATCATTTTGGGGAAAGCCGCTTTGGGAGGAAGCCCTCGCAGCTAATAGAATTTGTGCCACTCTACATACTTCTGATGATTTTTGTCAAGGAACGATTTTGTTTAACAGAACAGGTGACCAGGGGGATTTTGTTATTGTTTTTTAACTTTAGCATCATCCCTGGGTAGAAGATCTCAAAATGCAGATCAACAAAAATATGCAGAGCTTGGGTAGGTACCTCTTGTTCAATTCCAACAGAATATGCTCTGTGGAAAAGCCTACTGAAAAGTCCTAAATGTGGGCCAACAACAGGAGAGTCTGAAACACGGCAGGACAGCAGAAAACGCATCCCCAAGAATGAATAGCAAATTGTTTTCACAAAAGAGACAAACCCAATGGTTTGTCTTTTGAAAGGCCTTTCTAAAAACCATAAAAAATCCTACAAAAGAACACAGCCAGTAACTTCTCTGACACTGGCCATAGCAACTTCTTTCTACGTAGGTCTCCTGAGGCAAGGGAAACAAAAGCAAAAATAAAATATTGGGGATACATCAAAATAAAAAGCTTCTGCACAGCAAAAGAAAGGCAAAACTAAAAGGCAACCTACTGAATGCAGCAGAAGACATTTGCAAATGACATATCTGATAAAGAGCTGTATCCAAAATATATAAAGAACTTATAAAACTCAACACAGCCAACTCCCCCCGCCCTTTCAAATAATCCAACTGTCTTTTAATTGGGCAGAAGGGGCACCTGGGTGGCTCAGTCAGCTGAGCATCCGACTTCAGCTCAGGTCATGATCTCACGGTCTGTGAGTTCGAGCCCCACATTGGGCTCTGTGCTAACAGCTCAGAGCCTGGAGCCTGCTTCCAATTCTGTGTCTCCCTCTTTCTCTGCCCCTCTGCCACTTGCGCTCTGTCTCTCTCAAAAACCAAATAAACAAAAAAAACATTAAAGAAAACAAACAGGCAGAAGAGATGAACAGACATTTCTCCAAGGACGACCTATAGATCGCCAACAGATACATGAAAAGATGTTCACCATCACTTACCATCAGGGAAATACACATCAGAACTAAAATGAGATATTACCTCACACCTGTCAGACCGACTAAAATCAACAAAAGAAACAAAAGGTGTTGAGAGGAGATAGAGAAAAAGGAACTCTTGTGCACTGTTGGTGGGAATGGAAAACTGGGGCAGCCATTGTGGAAAGCAGTGCAGAGGTTCCTCAAAAAGTTAAAATTAGAACTACCCTATGACGCAGCCATCACACTACTGGGTACAACACTAATTCCAAGGGATACATGTTTGTAGCAGGAGTATTTATAATAGCCAGGATATGGAAGTAGCCCAAGTGTCTATCACTTGCTGAATGGATAAAGGTGTGTGTGTGTGTGAGTGCGCGCGCGCTGGAATATTACTCAGCCATAAAAAGAATAAAATCTTGTCATTAGCAATCATATGGATGAAGCTAGAGAGTATAATGCTGAGCAAAATAAGTCAGAGAAAGACAAATACCATATGATCGCAGTCGTGTAATTTAAGAAACAAAAAAGCAAACAAAGGGGGCAAAAAGAGAGACACAAATCACAAAACAGATTCTTACCTACAGAGAATCAACTCAGAGTGGGTGAGGGGATGGGTGAAATAGGTGATGGGGATTAAGGAGTGTACGTGAGGTGATGAGCACTGGGTGATGTATGAAAGTGATAAATCGCTCTACTGTACATGTGAAACTGATATAACACTGTGTGTTACCTGGAATTAAAATAAAAACATTTAAAAAGGGAGCTTCTGGGGCACCTGGGTGGCTCAGTCGGTTAAGCATCTGACTCTTGGTTTCATTTCAGGTCATAACCTCAGTTTGTGAGTTCGAGCCCCACATTGGGCTCTGTGCTGACAGTGTGGAGCCTGCTTGGGATTCTCTCTCTCTCTCTCTCTCTCTCTCTCTCTCTCACTCGTCCCCCTAAATCTCTGTCCCTCTCCTGCTCTGTCTCAAAATAAATAAGTAAAATTGAAAAAAAAAAAAAAAGGGGGGGGTTCTAAAGTCTTTGGGAGAAAGGGTTGACCTTGCTTTTTTTGTGTTTAGTTGTGGTGATGCCGTTTACAAGCCAAAGCATAGCCATTGATGTATAAGAGCTTGTAGAACTTCTCATTATAGGAGAGTTCCACTTGAAGCAACGTGATTCAGAAAAGAAATCAGGGAATAATAAAAGATTTAGGAAAAGTTCTATATTAAAATTACCTATAATTTATTAGGCCCCCCTAACATGCATTCATATTGACAATGAAAATACATATGAACATATAACTTTTCAAGAATATATACTACATATGACAACAAAGTTTTATTGTTTTTGTTCTTTTTTTTTTATATCTGAGAGAGAGAGAGAGGGCTCACACCAGTGGGGAAGAGGGGCAGAGGGAAAGAATCAGAGCTCGATCCCATAAACTCCCGATCATGACCTGAGCCCAAATCAAGAGTCAGACACTTGACTGAGACTGAGCCACCCAGGAGCTCCTATTTTTTATTATTTTTTAAAAACTTTAATATTTATTTTTGAGAAGAGAGAGACCGAGAACGAACAAGGGAGGGCAGAGAGAGAGTGAGACACAGAATCTGAAGCAGGCTCCAGATGTGGGGCTCGAACCCATAAACTGTGAAATCATGACCTGGGCCGAAGTCAGACGCTTAACAGACTGAGCCACCCAGGCATCCCAATTTTTTTATTTTTTAAAGTTTATTTAATTTGAGAGAGACAGAGACAGCGTGAATGGGAGGGGCAGAGAGAGTGTAAGAATCCTAAGCAGGCTCCGCACTCCCAGCACAACACAGAGCCCAATGTGGGACCTGAACTCACGAAACCATGAGATCATGACGTGAGCCAAAACCAAGAGTCAGACACTTAACAGACTGAGCCACCCAGCCGCCCCGAAATCTAAATTTTAATTGCATTTCACAGACATTTAGTGAGGCTGAATATTTTTTTATTTTTCTCACTTCTATATTAAACTACCTGAATATGTCTTGGTCCACTTTCCTAATACCCAAATCACATTTTAGTCTAACCCGAAGACTATGTTCTTCCTTCATAATATGGTTGGGATTATAGTCCTTGTGTTGGTAATGATTTTACTCATCACAATACATAAAAGGAGCTGCTACTCTCAGTCTTGAAATACATCTTACCTGATCTACCCCTTGTGGAGATCTCACATGTCAGTCGCTTGAAATATTCTGGGAGATCAGCATATTCATTTCCATAGGAGATGACCTTAATTCCTTTGTCCAGCATGTTTTCTCGAAGCTTCTTGAACTCATCCACATCACCTCTCCGAACCAGCATGAAATGTTCTAAGTCAGATTTATGCTTCACAGCCTCCAGAAAAAGGGCTTGGAAAGTGGTGTCATCCACAGTCCAGCCACAGCCCAGGAAAAGAAATGACTTGTTCTCATACAGTTTCTGAATCTCTCTCTTGCAGGAAAAGAAACAACATATTAAACAACACTGTGAGTACACACACAAGGACACAAGGCATGTCCAAAACAAAAAAGTCAACAGGCTCACAACTACTACAATTGGCAGACTGTGATGAGCACTTAACGAAAATTTAAGAAGGTATATTCATTCCACAAAGGAGTCTGATCTTGTTTATTCCTATAAGTTGATGACTAGTCTAAAATTTTACCTCTACCCAGCATTCCACTACTCTCTATTCAGGCTTTCACTGGGCTGACACTGGTCTATTGGCTATATACCTACATGCCCAGAGGCCATAAGGCAATGAGAAATGTTCAGTATCTCTTACTCTTTCCATTTTCTGGATCATATTTTCTTTTTTGCTTTACAAACTGAACCAAGGATCACCAGGTAAGATCATTCCATCACCAGATTTGCTCAAAAAGAGTCTGAGACACTTAGAACATCAATATGTGTGTATATGTACATATAAATACATCAGAAAGGATTCTGCTTAAGGGATCACTCAATGTCAATAATGGATGCAATTAAAACCAATGTCAGGGAAAGCACAGGTGAAAAAAAGTCCCTCATGCTTTTCCTGGTCTTTCTTTTGCTACATTAGGTAAAGATACTATCATCCAGTCCTGAAAACAGTCAATATATACCATTCTCAGAGTTGCAGAGTTGGGGACCAGTGAATTTTCCCCACATATCCCTGGCCAGCGAGTGTTTCTGGTATTCACACATACATATGAACAAGACTAAAATTTGTGTCCCCCAAACGCAACAAGCTTTTCTATCACCCCATTTAAATTTATTCACTTTTTTGCACTGAGCCATAAGTGTAAGTGTGATAATTCAATACAAAATATAAGCCCATCACCATTCACACACAGTCTCTTTAGAATGTATGTTCTAGGAGCGATTGGTCAGTAAAAAGGTGCATAAATTGTTTTTGTCCGAGAGAGGGTTATTAATACTACATCACACCAAATGATGATGAAGGGTAATAACATATTCTCTGTCTGCAAGGATGATGCCAATGACAGAGTGCCATCTGCTGGCTGTCAATCAAGAAAAAGTAAAATCCTTCAGGTCTTATGCCTGAAGAGACGAAGAGACGTTCCACAATTTCTAAGATGGCCTGCACAACCACAAGCTACGAAGCACAGAAAGAATGTTTAAACTTCCAATTTTAACTCCTGGGGACAATGTTATCTCATGAAGACCAACAGTACACTTCGAGGTTTCCCAGGAAGGCCTTGTTGAGACCAGCGAGATCAGTACTACTCACCATAACCTCGGTGTTCCTGAGCACGTTCTGATACCCAGCTGGATGCAGGACAATGCCACTAGGATTGGTGTAGACTCCATGGATATGTAAGACGCTCAGCTTCCGCTTCTCCTGAGCCCACTCTAGAACCTGCATAACACAAAAACACCTCAACCAGGTTGGCAGGGCTGAGCACCTGCTTAAAGGTCCCCACAGGGAAGAGGCTGTTTGATGGATTAGGCTGCTGACCTAACTCTTTATATCATAGGGCAAGAATGCAAAACCCAGTGTGGCCTCAGTTTCCATTTCAGGTATGGCTCTTAGGACTGATGGCAGCCACGTCTGGGAACTTCTCTTTGGAAGTAACTATCAAAAATGAGAGATTACGTGTCATCATGTGCAGAAACGACACAGCTCCTACCTCTAGTGAGATACACGACAGCCATGGATGGCCGTTTCAGTTCTGATCCCCAAGATTCTTGTGTCCAGGTCCCGTGTAGTCCCTTCTCACACTCACTATAGGTTTGGCCACTGCCCTGCTTCAGCCAATGGAGTGTTAGCAAACACAACACACGCAGCAACTTGAAAAATGTTGGCACGAGTCTTTCTTTTTTGCTGCTTTTGGAACCCAGTGACCATGTGAAGCAGCCTCAGCTGGCCTGCTAGAGATGTCTGGCCAAGCCAAGTGCCTGCACCACCGAAGTAGAGGCAAGGCCATCCGACACTACCCAGCCTTAGTGTAACCTTCAGGTAACTGCAACCATGTGGGTAACCATGTGGGTAAAACCAGCAGGACTGCCCAGTTGAGCCTCTAAGCCCAGCTCAAATCACTCATTCACATTATCATGTGCAAATAAAATGTTTGAAGCTCCAGGCTTTTAGGGTGGTTTCTTATGTAGCTGATAAACAACTGAGGAAACACTTCAGACACCTGAGTTACCTCAAAGGCTACCAATGAAGAACGATCACTTAGTGACAATGGCAATAATAGCCACCTGTGGATGCCATTGTTCCATGGACTCAAGGCCCTGAGAAAGCATAATTTTCTTCTCTTACCATTCTAGAGAAATTAGGTATGGGTCAGGAAAAATAGTAAAGAGGCAGAGAGATACTGAGTCTGAATATCACTAGGGCCCATTCTGACTACCAGGCAATGGCTTTAGCCACTAGACTTCGACATGGCCATCACGTGAACTAAAAATACCAAGCAAATCTTGAGGTTCCACGATGAAAATGAGAAAGAAGTAGTTAGCAAGTCTGTTACATATTCTTAACATCTGATTTCCTTACGAAACCTGACTTTGAGGTCAGCAAAATCACGAGAAATTTCAAGAATGGTACAGTAGCCACTACTCTGGCAGAGGCAGTGGACTGGGAAGATGAATGCCAGCAGGTGAAACCCTGTTCTATCCAAACTCTAGTTATTTGGCCTCTAGGTGGGACACAAAGGCAGGTTCCTTGAAAAACAAAGTGTAGAAGGAAAATTACAAAAGTACAAAGCAGGGCATGAGAAACCTGGTGGCATTTCACAACCTTGTTTTTTCTTTTACTTTTCCTTCTTCAATCACGTCTCTGACATCTTTTTATGGTGATACAAATATTTTCCCTTTCATGGCTTCACCGTATTTCAACAATTAAGTAAATGCTGGTGTATCTACAGAATCTCCTATTGATGCTAGAGTTCAAATTACAAACTCAAGTGACCATTCTAATAAAAAAGCCTTATCTTATTAGTTGACCTAATATCATGGTAAGTGGTTTAGGTACAGTATGAACTATATTAAAAAAAAAAAAGTCTCCTGAGGTTTCCCCTGACATTACCTTTACCCAGTATCACTTTGCTTTAAAGTTGCTCTTACAGACATCATAAAGTAGTTTTCATACATTTCCAATAGATGTCATGAAGAATATATCCTAAGAGAGAACTCTAAATCAGTATTACACTCACCTGATAGTTGCAAATGTGAGAGAGATCTTACAGTTGAAATGACTTTCTATAACCTTGCTTTGAAATTCAGTGAAATTGTCAAAACTCACAGAACTGAACACTTTCAAGATCTGTGCATTTTACTTCATGTTGATTTTATCTCAGAAATCAAAAAAATAAATACCCAACCAAAGACAAGAATCTTCCCTTCTACCTCAACATAAATACCAGTAAGTGTATAATATACCAACTAGAAAACAGTTTTTTCTGAAGATACAACCCACTAGCCTGAAGAAAAGACTAATCCTTTACTTTTTACCTTTTTCTCATCAGTAAGGTCAAGGGATTCGAGTTGTTTTCCCTGATCTGCTGCATACAGTTCCAGGAGATTATCAAAATTTGTAGTTAATACTAGGGCTCCATTTTCCATCAGGTGGAGGACTGACTGAAGGAGCTGTTTTCCAGAATCTTCCATCTTTGACTCCAAGTCATCAAATACTTCATATAAACAGTCTTTGAAAAATGTGGATCGAACATTACTAGTTCTCTGGGGAGGGATTTGAAAGAGAAAAATTAATTCTAGGTGTTTTGGTAGGTCACTTGTTTCAATTACAATTATATAACAAATTTTTGAAGAGAACATTCTGTACTTAAAATAAGGATAAAATACTATCTACCTCAAAGAGTTTTAAGAAGAATAGGATGATACATGCCAAGTGCTTAGCACTTAATAAGTGATTGATGCTATTACATCATATGCAAAAAAACCTTAGTTCTCTAAATAAGCATTTTCATAGATTAAAAGTTCTAAAATGTGGTGTAGTGTCTCTTTTTCTAATCCTCGGTGCTTTTTACAGATGCTATGGATTTAGGAAAAACTGATTACTTTCTTTCTCTCTGCCTGTTTTTTTCCCCTAGCATAATTCAGGAATTCATTTACAGATATGCTAGGAAAAATATTTCGTATATAGCAAAGGTTATCGAAATTGTGCATTTGCCAATAGTAAAAAAATAGAACTCATTAATGAGTTCTAAACAGACTTCCTATTTCTTTACCTATGGTTTATCTGAATAAGTACTCTCCCAGGTTCATTCTGAATGTATGTAAATGTCAAGAACTAATGAGAAAATATAATACAAACCTCAGGTAGGAAGGTGGCTTTAATTTTTTTTTAATTATTATTTTTTAATTAAAATTTTTTTAATGTTTATTATTTTTGAGAGACAGAGCACGAGTGGGGGAGGGGCAGAGAGAAAGGGAGACACAGAATCCAAAGCAGGCTCCAGGCCCTGAGCTGTCAGCAGAGAGCCTGATGCTGGGCTCGAACCCATGAACCACGATATCATGACCTGAGCCGAAGTCAGACACTTAACCAGACACTTAACCAACTGAGCCACCAAGGTGCCCCAGGAAGGTGGCTTTATAACTTAAAAGACACAGTGGCCCCAGGGACACAGGAATTTCAAAGGGGAAGGTAGCTATGTAATGTGCTACAATAAATGTCTGATCCCTATCTTGTTCCTGCAATACCGTTTCATTAGATAATATCAGAGTAAGAATCAGTTCATAAAGGCCCCAATATTCCCCATTCAACCTCCATGCAATTGCAATTAGCTGCTAGACACATAGATAATGGGCTCGTCCTGTTTTTCCTCAAAGTGGTCCCCCACCTTCCTGGTTTCCTTTGTGTATCTTTCTAATAGCACAATATTCAGAGAAAAATCTGTTTCCATGGAACCACATAAGCACATTCATAAAATACACTTCCATTTGCCAAGTTCTTCTCCTAAAGTTTCCAGGCATTTTTAAAAACTATCCATTCTTTAAAAATCATACCTACTAAAAAATGGTAAATATTTAAACTGTAGAAAAACTAGAGCGCAGAGGTGAACAGCACCTCTATTTGATAGTGAGACACCCCGAAGTTTATCTTGTCTGTCAATCACTATTTCATGCTGCATCTACCACTAGACAGGCTTCTTATTATACCTTATCGTCAATGGACTCACAGATCCTCTTATAGGACTAACTAGATGCTAGAGACCATATTCATGTGACTAAGAATGTGGCTCATGTTTTTTAACCTGTCCATTTTCATTACATAATGGCATTAATAATTACATCACATTCTAGCAACAAAGAGACAACCAACTGGAGACTCTTAACACTTTATCAGAATGAACAATCTGATCAGAAACTGTGAAGAATGTACAACCCATTTACCCTACAGTCTTGCAGTCCCATTTTGAGGAATATATCCCACAGATATACTTCAAACAAATGAAATGACATACACAAGGTTATCACTGCTCTGTTACTTATAGCAGTAAAAAACTGGAAACAAGCAAAGTATCCAGATGTAGGAGACTGCTATGGCCAAGAACCCATACAAAGGAGGCTGGTATGGAAAGATCTCCAGATTATACTGTTAAGTAAAACAAACAAGGTGCAGAACAGTACCTTTAGCATGGGGTGCCTGGGTGGCTTACTTGGTTAAGCTCAGGTCACGATCTCTTGGTTCATGAGTTTGAGCCCCACATCAGGCTCTGTGCTGACGTCACGAAGCCTGCTTAGGATTTTCTCTCTCACTGTCTCTCTGCCCCTCCTGTGCTCTCTCTCTCTCTCTCTCTCAAAATAAATAAATAATCTTAAAACTAATCTATTTAAAAAATAAAAAAAGAATGGACCTGTTGACATGGGGGATGGAGGTGGTGGTGAGGTAAGAATATCTCCTTGTTTTATGAAGAGGAACACTGGAAGGACACCCAAAAAGCTAGTAAGACTGGTGACCCCTGGGGGAGGGGTGAGTGTTTGGGAAGAGGAGGGAGACAAAGACATGGTGGAAATGCAATGCTGCAATCTATGTAAATCTTTTTAATCATTTTGGTTTCCAAAGTGTGTGTAAATAATACCTAGTCAAAAAAGCAAAATTCAGTCTCAAATTAAATAAAAACTACAGTGATATTAAAAACTTCCTTATTGTATTTTATATCTTCATTTTGTACTCTGATTCATACACACACAGTTATATAATACTGTATTCTAGAGCCAGTTAATCATTATGCACACAGATAAAAACACCTGAGTATACAATCCGGTAATCAGGAGTATGGAATATTTCCTTGCTCCTACGGAAAGAAATACAAAAGGTCAAAGCCTGGGAATAAATGTTATAGGTCATTTATTTCAGTTAACCATCTCTTAGTTCGATTTCTTTAAGTTATCACATCTTGCGTATCAACACCGAGAGGAAGGAAAGAGACTTCTGCAGCTGTACTGATTTCCTCAGACTTTAAAACGAACATTTCTCTCTCTGGAAGCATGTGACCCTAGAACTAAATTTCCCACCAGCAGTCTAAGCAAAGACAAAGGAATAAAAACAAACAAGGAGGTCCCATGGTCAAAAGGAAATGCCAAACTCCTACGCAATTTTATGGACATGTTCTCATTCATTTAAAACAGTGAACTGAATCCAAAGCTACTTCATTTCCTTTTACCCTGTAACTCTCATCATTCTGATGCCAGATACAGTAAAAAACAAAATCCTGACTCTTTCCCACCAAGGTTATTACCATTTATAGTGCATTTACTATGTTCCAAACACTTTATATACATTATTTCACATGGGTTAAGTAGTATTAGCCCAGTGTTTACAGGTGCAAAAATAGACTCTGAGGAGTTCAGTGATTTTCCCAGGCTCCCAGTTCATTTAAATGCCAAGACTGATTCTGAAACCCAAGTAGTTCTCTCCACTGAATGTACAATGTCCCTATAAGAAACTGGCCCAGTAGACAGGTCTATTAACACTGCCATATCACTGCTGTTAGAGTCTTTTAAAAAAAGGAAGAAAAAAAAAGGGACATTTTCAAAACATGTAAAAGTAAAAAGAGCATAATGCCCCCTGTAGACCCATCATCCAGTTTCAACAATTACTGCACATGGCCCATCTTACTTAACCTAAGCTCCCCTCTACCCCTATATCACACCCCTGCCACCTTCTCCACTTCATGGAATTTTTTCTGAAGCAATTCCCAAGCATCATTTCATACAGATACTTCAATAGTTCCTTAAAAGATAAGGACTCCCCTTTACATAGAAAACAAAACTGCAATACCACCTATCGCACCCCCCAAAAAATGCAGTAATATTAATTCCTTAATACCAAATACCTAGTGTTAAAATTTCAAAGTTTGTGTGTGTGTCTTTTTAAAATTTTAAGTTTCTTTATTTGAGAGAGAGCACGCATGAGCGAGGGAGGGGCAGAGAGAGGGGAACAAAGGATTCTAAAAAGGCTCTGCGCTGACAGCAGAGAGCCCAATGAGGGGCTCAAACTCAGGAACCATGAGCTCATGACCTGAGCTAAAGTCTGACACTTAACTGACTGAGTCACCCAGGTGCCCAGTGTGTTGTTGTTTTTTTTTTTTTTAAAGCCTCTGGGTTGCCTGTTATTTTTTTCTTACATATCCTCTATTAAAGTGGTTTTCAAGATGTGACCTATGGACCTCATGGATCACTAAGATTCTTTAATGAGTCTGCAAAGTAAAATTATTTTCATAATAACATTAAGGTGATTTTTGTCTTTTAAACTGTGCTATTTCCACTGATGGTACAAAAGCAATGGTGGGTAAAACTTGGTGCCTTAGTGTGAATCCGGACGGTGGGTCCAGGCTGTGCCAGTCATCACTGTATGCTTCACTACCAAAGACTTAAAGTAAAGAAAAAAAATTCAGTTTCCCTTAAGAATGTCCTTAATGAAACAGTAAAAATTATTAACTGTGTTAAACCTTGGCCCTTGAGCACATGTCTGCCTTAAAGTCTGCGTGGAGAAACAGGAGCTATGCACAGACCACTTGTGCTGCAGACGGAGTATGATGGCCATCTACAGGCAACGCACTGGTGTGGTTGAGCTGTAAGCTCGACTGGCCACCTGTTCTCATCAAACATCATTTTTGCTTGAATGAATGACTGACTGACGGACTACAGTTATTCAGACTTGGGTTGTCTCAGGCATTTTTGCAGAAATAAAGGGAGCCTGCCATTTCAAGGAAAACAGCTGATCACTGCTACCATGGCTGCCAATGACAAAAGCTGAAACACCAGAATTTTAGAAAACTTTATTCTGCTACCATGAGTTTGACTGTTTCCAAATACCTCTGTGAGGGATGGTGTTATTAATGGATGCAATTTTGTTGACTCTGTAGTGAAATGTGTCGATATCTAGAAGATATATAAAACTCAGCGAACCAATATTTTCCAAATGACAAATGCATGATGCTGCAAAATGGTGAAAGATGGGGGAAAGATTCATCCTGATGCAAGACGGCAGGGCACCTGGGTGGCTCAGTTGGTTGAGTGTCTGACTTCAGCTCAGGTCATGATCTCGTGGTTCCTGGGTTTGAGCCCTGTATCCAGACTCTCTGCTGTCAGCACAGAGCCCACTTTGGATCCTCTGCCACCCTCTTTCTCTGGCCCTTCCCCACTCACATTCATTCTCTCTCTTCCTCTCTCTCTACCCCCCCCAAAGTAAACAAAAATTTTAAAATAATAAATAAATGCAAGATAGATCGTGGATTTTAATGCAACAAAATAAGAAAAGTTTAGATTCCATATTAATAGAATTATGGATGAATATGGATTTGACTGGAGATTCCATACTGCTATTAATCTTTAGGAAGGAAGCCATCACTTACGGAGTTTTCAGTGTACTATCAATAATAAATATCTGTAATTATCTAAAAATACTATTAAAATACTTTCTTTTTCAACTACGTATCTGTGAGACCTGATTTTTTCCATATACTTAAACTGAAACAACACACACTATATAACACAGGTGTGAGACTTACAACACAGGCATGAGACTAGCGGTTTTCTATTAAGCCAAACCTTAAAAAGATTTGCAGAAGTGTGAAACAATACTATTCTCCTCACTTTTTTTTGTTTGGGAAAATATAATTTTTCAGAAACACATTAGTTATGTTAACACATAACAGGTTTACTGTTACTTTTTTTTAAAACTTTATTTATTTTGAGAGACAGCAGGAGAGGGAAAGAATCTCAAGTAGGCTCTAAACTGTCAGCACAGAGCCCAACGTGGGGCTCCATCCTACAACTGTGACATCACGATCTGAGCTGAAATCAAGAGTTAGACGCTAAACGAACTGAGCCACCCAGGCGCCCCAGTTTATCACTACTTCTAAGTGAACTAATATTTTAAACACTTCTCAATTTTTAACACAGTGAATATTGACAAATATACTCCACATAAACAAAAGTTGTTTGAGAGTCTCAAAAACTTTTAGGCATATAAAGGAGTCTGGAGCCCAAAAAGTTTGATAATTGCTCCTCTAATGCAACAGACACTAACCCACAACTACACTTTCAGGCTAACAGTAAATCTTCATCCGATGAGAATTAGTGACCCCAGTCTTGTATGTCTGGTAGGTATACACTTATTGACACGGACTTTAAATCTCATAACTTTCAATCATAACTCACCCGACTAGCAAAATCATGTTTTCTGTTCTTGGGAGAGCGTGGAAATGGATGAGAGAAGGCTACAGACAAGACAACAGAGTGGCACAGCCTAGTCTGAAACACAACTTCCTCACCCACAGACCAATCTTCCTAGTCCGACACAGTACTCTTTTTTCTTGAGCTCTCTTTCCTTTTTTCTTCTCAGAAAGATAACATTTTTTAAAATTAACTGGCTGACACACTTCCATAACACTTTTCCCTTATATGTTTTGGCTATATACTCTTCTACTGACTTTTTAAATGAGGATAATTTTGGATTTTTTAGACATTAAAAAATTATGTTTTCTTTCCTCCCTCCTCTCAAGCGTACTTTAACAGATATTAAAATAGCCACTCTCACTTTCTATTGATCAGTGTTTGCATCATACTGTTTTCTATCCTTTTACCTTTATTTCTGCAGCTGTACTGAGATACAATTTTCGTAACATACCATTCACTAATTTGAAGTGTAAATTCAGTGATCATTTTTAGATTTACAGATACTGTAACTGTCACTGCAGTCAATTTAGGACATTTCATCATATCAAAAAGAAACCAGGTACTCTTTCAATATCACCCGGCTGCCCTCCATCCACGCTCCCGTCCTTAACAAGTACTATTAGACTTTCTCTAACAGATTTCCCTATTCTGGACATTCTGTATGAATGGAATCATTTAATATGTGGTCTTTTGTAAATGGCTCCCACTTAGCATACATTATACTAAGGTCATTCATGTTGCAGCATGTATCAGTACTGAATCCCCTTTTATTGGCAAGTAGTACGTCATTGTATGAATGTACCACATTTTGTTTATTCATTTGACAGCTGACGGACATCTGGATTATTTCTACCTTTTGACTATTATGAATAATGCTATCAATGTTTGCTTATAGGTTTTTGTTCGAACATATGTTTTCATTTCTCTTGGGTGTATCCAGAAGTGGAACTGCTGGGTCAGATGGTAACTCTATATTTAATTGTTTGAGGAACTGCCAGACTGTGTTCCACATTGTCCACACCATTTCACAATCCCAGCAGTGCATGAGGATTTCAATTTCTCCACATCCTCGCCAACACTTAATTATCTGACCATCTGACTCTGGCCATCCTCGCCCAAGTGAAGTAGCACCTCAGATGGTTCTGATTAGCATACTTTTCATGTGCTTACTGGCCATTTTCCTTGGACTGTCTATTCAAGTTCTTTGCTACTTAAAAATTCAATTATTTACCTTTTTATTATTAAATTATAAAACTTCCTTATATATTCTGGATACTACGCCTTTAGGATATACAGGAGCTGCTAATATTTTCTCCCATTCTGGGTGGCTCTCTTTTCACTTTCTTACAGATAGTGGGCTTTGAGCCTAACAGATTTTATGTTTGGTAAAGCAGTGGATCTATTGTTTCTTTTGTTCTTTATGCTTTTTTGGTGTCATGTCTAAAAAACCGCTGCCAGATCCAAAGTCATTAAGCTTTAAATATATTTTCTTCTAGAGTTTTATAGGTTTAGCTCCATATTTAGGCCTTTAATCCATTTTGAGTTCATTTCTGTATATGGTATCGGACAGAGGTCCCATGAGCCCTTTAAAGCCTATTAATTATTTACATTATTCCAGGTTGGTAACAATTTATCACAACTAAGGATAAGGAAATGAAAAGAGGACGTAAAACATACTAGGTTTCTGAAATGAGTCATGAACCAAGGGGAACTCTTTTATACTAATGCTTAAGGACACTTCTTTCCTACAGGCCCTAGGGCCTGGGAGGAGGGCATGGGAATAAACACTAATAATTTACTTTTTCGTAAGAGATATATTTTCTTCAAAAATATGACTTAAGATTTACAACATGCAAATTAAAAAAATAAGAATTTTAAAATGCACTATAAGCTAACTAACTTAGATATAAACTAAAAAAAAATAAAATAAAAAGATTTACAACATGCTTTGGCTACACTATTATTTCCAAATATATAAATATATTAAATGAAACCTGATTTTGAAGGCATTTTGAAGACAATACAAGACAAGGAGGCCCTTATCATTCAGGATCCTGCAAATCCCTTTGGTAACTTCCCCTAATCTTTACTTCCCCCAACTTTCGAGTCGTATACATATAATCAGTCACCCCTCATAATCGCAGTGCAGCTCTTCAGCCCACAGGTCCTATCCCTGTGCTTTAATAAATCCACCTTTTTGTACTGAAGATGTCTCAAGAATTCCTTCTTGGCCGCAGGCTCTGAGCTCTAACATTCTGACATCACTCAACAACTTCATCACCACCACCACCATCACCACCACTCACACTCACACACACAAATGGGTCAAGATAACTACCCTGAATAGGATCCATAAACAGACATTTTGTGGAAGAGCCAAATGTGATGCAGCTCTACAAACTAGAAATGAATATTCTTATTATATTCGGCCTATGTGCCATGGGTTCAGAAAATATCAAATGCCAGGGTACACAGGAGGATACTCACAGGAGAGAGTTTCTGGATAAGGTCATGGGCAACATGGACAAGGTTTTTGTCTTCATGGAGACATTTCTGAAATTTTCTGCTCTCCTCATCTTCTAGAAGATCAAAATCAATGGCAGCATCCAGCAAGGCCTGGATTAACCCCTTCCAGGACTTTAGGGCAGGAACCTGAGGGGCAACTGCAGCACTAATGCCTGTTCCGATCACCAGCACGAGCTCCCGGGGCTTCTTAGTTTTCAAGCTTGGAAGCAGCTTCCTGAAAAAGCCAAAAAGAGGACTGGGAACATCCAACAGACAGGAGGCACATGGGAGGACTGTTAAAATCACAGTTTTCAGCTATCGCTTTCATAATTGCAAAGAGAAGCACCACCACTTTCTGATATCTCTCCTAAGTATCTTTTTTAAATGTTTATTTTGAGAAAGGAGAGAGAGGGAGAGAGCACGAGGGAAAGAGCACGTGCGCTCATGCTTGGGAGCATGAGCCCCTGGGGGAAGGGTGGGGGGGGCACCGGGGAGGGAGAGAGGGAGGGAGGGGGAGAGAGGGAGAGAGGGGGAGAGAGGGAGAGAGGGAGAGAGGGAGAGAGATCAATCCCAAGCAGGCTCCATGCTGTCAGCACAAAGCCCGATGCGGGGCTTGATCTAAAGAACTGTGAGGTCATGGCCTGAGCCAAAGTCAAGACACTTAACAGGCTGAGCCAGCCAGGTGCCCCATCCTCTCCTGAGTATCTTAAGCAAAAAGACCAGAATATTGTGCCAAGACTTGCTAAAAAACCTATTTCAGGAATCCTAAAAGGCACTCTTAAAATCAATTTTCTCCCTCATAGTCTTCTCAACCTATGAAAACCCACTAATAGTAGGAAAAGATATGATCATATTATAAGCAGAGTTCTACTAACTAAATTATATTTTAAACCAACGCTGAATTTCAGAAAACACAGACTCCAGACAGAAAAGAAATCCACACAAATTAAATTCCCACTGTTGGGAAATATAAAACGAGATGAAAGACAGACAAATTTAAGCCTAGATTTTGTAAACACTATTAAGATAAAATTGAGAATGAGACAGTCAAATATGGAAATAAATTTCACTTCAGTTTTGTTCTGGATATCTTGAGGCCCAAAAAAAGGGAAGAAATAAAGTAGCTAAGAGAACTGTGAAAACACAGGAGCTTCACATTACCTACATAAACAAAAAACTATTCAGCAGCTATGACAAGAAGGGAGAACATTCCTTTCGTAACACGATAAGCACCAGAGTCCTGTTTTGAAGAGACAGCATGAGCACAAGTTTTTGTCTTGGTTCTGCACCCTTCCCCCATCAATCTGGAAACTATATTAAAATCTGTCTGAAATATGTTTATTCACTTTAATTTTTGTCAATGGCAGGTGTTTTCCATTGCCTTTCTCAATCTTTTGTCAAAATTACAAAATAGAAAAAGGATTTGCATTTCGGCAGAACATAAGAAACAGCTTTGGGAAGCCTGTTTCAGGAAAACAAACTTTAGAACTGCCTTCCTTATCTCCAACTCCTGCATTCAGTCATTCAACAACTATGAAAAACCAAGTACTAGAAATAAGGGTAGGCACTAATGATGTTCCTATGAATAAAATCAAGTCCCTAATCTCAAAAGTTTAGTCTACTGGAAAAGACTTGATAATAGATATCAGAAGCCAATGATGAAAAATGAGTTTCAGTTCAAGGGAATTAAGACACTGAAACACAAATAAATACATACAGAAAATTTCTAGAAAGATTCACAAGAACGGTAAATAGTGGTTAACTGGGGATTGGGGAGAATAATGATTTCTACTTTTCACTTGATTGTGCTGTATTATTTGAGTTTTTTACCTCATCCATTATAGGTTTGAGGTGTAATTTTGCCTCACTTTTCATTTCTGATTCTTCCTAAAATCACTAAGTAATTATAAAGTAACTTTTTTAGAAGGCATATATTCATAAAAAACAGAACAGGAAAAGATGACAGCAGACAACACAGGCCCACAAAATTTCAGGAGCTGTAAAGTGAGAGCTGCTTCCCTCTATAGAACTTTGGGAATGTCCAAATAAATCTGAAGGCAGAGGGGCAGGTGGGGCTAAAATAGGGAATTTGCTGCAAGGCTGTCTTAGAAGCAGTTAGAATTCTACGACTGGAGGCTTGCTTTCCAGAGAAGTTGAACCAGAGGGTCCTGTATTTGAGAACACTGTGCACAGCTTGGGGAAGGAGATTAAGTAAAGGGAAGTATATGAAATCCAAGACTCTCCCCTGTCCCCTTCTCCCAGAGGAAGACTCTTGGACACTGGCAGTCAACCTTATACCTGCACCCTATTCCCCATCCACTCATCTTCTTGGGGAAAATGGTGAGCCTGAGAGAAAAGACCCACAGATTCTGATAGGCGGGGATTCTTCCTCAGCTACAGAACCATGCTTGACACCCACAATGAAGCACCAGCGGCCAAGTCAGCACACGCAGATTCTCCAACTGGCTCTTCAGTGTCTTCTCTTAAATATGAGCAAAGAAGGGTCAACTTACATTTGAAGAAAGTCCCCCAACATGAGAGCTACATCTAAACAAACTAGTACATAGAAAGAAACCTGCAGGAAACAAGCAACAATCCCAGAGAGAGAAGAAAAATAGAAAATAAAAGTTATCCCCCATAGATTTAAAAAAAAAATAAAGGCATCTATGAAACATGAACAGAAAGTTATAAAAAAGGATGGGCATGGGGCACCGGAGAGGCTCACTTGGTTAAGCATCTGACTACTGATTTCAGCTCAGGTCATGATCTCGCGGTTCCTGAATTCAAGCCCTGCGTCAGGCTCTGCGCTGACAGTACAGAGGCTGCTTAGGATTCCATATCTCTCCCTGCCCCTCCCCAGCTCTCTCTCTCAAAATAAATAAACTTAGAAAAAAAAGGGGAGGGGGGCTGTGCAAACAAAAATATTTCTTGGAAATTAAAAATAAAAACAAGTAAAACATTCATAGGGTTGGAAGACAATTTCTTGAGAAAGTAGAATGATAAAAACAAAAGCAATAGAAAAACATAAGAAAACTAGTCTTACTCCAGGAGGTCCAATATCTGAATACCAAGAGTTCTAAAAAGACATGATACAGAAAAAACTGTAAAGGAAATTATCAAATAAAAAAATTTTTTCAAAAATGAATTATCAGTAGCCAACTTTGAAAAGCCACCTAATATCTAGACTGATATGAAGGTACATCACTGTGAAATTTCAGGTTGCTGAGAATAAAATAACTATCCTTACAAGTTTCCAATGAAAAAAGAAGAGGTCGCATGACAAAGGACTGGGGATCAGAACAGAGTCCCTATTTTGGCAGAACACTTACTTAGCTGCTAGCAGAGAATAAGCAGTAACTTCAGAACTCTAAGGGCAATGACTTCCTTCCTAGAATTCTACACTCAGCCAAATCCTCAAATAAATGTACAAATATGAAAAAGACATTTGCAAATGTCTCCAAAAACTCTTCTCCTATAAATCCTTACTAAGGAAGCTAATGAGAATATTCTTCAGCAAAATGAAGGACTACACCAAAAAGGGCGACATGATATCTAGGAAAGAGAGGATCCGATACAGGAGAGATGTAAAAGGAATCCTTGAGGTCCTGGAGAAATGCAAACGTCAGCTGTTTGCAGCAGGCCTGGAGAAGTATCCTCAGCAGAACACCGTCCAGAAGGAAAAACCCAGGAAACAACTTAAACTAGTAAATTACTGAGGAGTGCCAGCATATCTAAGAAATTTACTCTTCTGTCACAAAGTTTGAAGATAAATTGACAGGCACATAGAAAACAACGCAAACCAAACAAAAGAGAGAGAAAAAATGGACAAGAAAGTATAATTTCAAAACACCATTAGGCTCACCTATGAATACTATTTATACAGTCCTGCAATGTAACTATTAAAAACTGACTTAACCAAAAATTCTGATATAAAACACGGGGGGGGTGGGGGGTGGAAACATGTGAAGGAGAGACTCCCAAAGAGTAAGCTCAATGCTCATCCCTCTTAACTGGAAAGGGATAAAAACCAAAACACTAAAAAATAGCAGTACATACAAAATATTTAAAAATATGGACGGAATTATTAAAGAAACCAACTTAAGAGCTACAAGTGATTCCCTCTGTAGAGGGACAAGGCATTATAAGCTTTGAAGTACTGCCTTTTAAAATTATTACATTTATGATCTTGATAAAAATAAAAATCGAATCCAAAATAAAAATTATTTAATTTTTATATGAAGGCCAATATTAATTTGTGAAAACACTGGGGTGTACGGCAAGTTTGTTTGGTAATTTATTGTGTTCCTTAGATTCCCTTCCCTTGTTTACCTGGGCTTTTTGGTGGGGGGTGCGCCATCACTGAAGAATCCAAGAATCTTGTCTATATCAGAGGCCTGGCTCCCTGTAGAAGCCATCCAGTTTCTAAAACAGATTAAACACCACAGACCACAATTAGATCTGTAATATATACCATTCAAAATAGCATATACAATTAAACAGTTTTAATGAGCCGTATATCCTAAAGGTGTTCTAGAGGTATCCCCTGCTCAACAGAAATCCACTAATTACTGAGTATCCCAAACTTAAGGAATTATATTCATCCTGAAATGATGACTGGTGCTCCATAGTGTCATCTTGCTTCTGCTTCTGAAGGCTCCCTCCACCCCCTACACCTCCCTGCAAAAACAAAACCCTATGTCAATTCACGTCAATGACTGTCCATCACTTTGTGGAGGCTAAGAAAACCTGTTATTCTCCCATGAGATAGGCTTGGGAAGACTTAAGGGATTAAAAACAACCCATGGATAAGTGTGCTAATATCCCCCAATTATCTACTTACTACTATCAGCTAAAAAAATCACTGGGTCAATAATTTGCTGATTGTTAGACATTCCTTGTTGCTGAACAAGTGTGTCCTCACAGGCAGTGAGACATGTCTCCTTAGCTAAACAGAGGGGACTCCGAGACAGACTGTGAGAAATGGGAAAGGTATGTATTTTCAAGCAAAGATGCATGAAAAAGTGACTGATTGTGCTCAGGTGATGGAATAACTAGCCAAAGAGAATTACCATGAGTTAGAATGAAAACCATAATGAGAAGTTTTAACTGCTCACAATTTTAGTAAATTTGCTACATCGAAGGACCATTAATTCTACAATAGCAGTACTTTAAACAGTGTGTACACACACACAAAAAGACAATACATATTACCAGAATTTGGGGTGCTTTATTATTTCATTATCAATATTTAGAAATAAGTGAATTAATACAAATTATTTCAAGATTACTATTTTATTAGAAAGCTTTTTCGTTATGGAAACATTTTTTTTAGAGTTTGGTGAATTAATTTTTCTGGTAAATAGAAGGCTCAGCTCCTCACCCCATACTGCATCACACATAACGGAATTCTCTGATATCGTAATCACTAGTTAAATAGGAATCTCAAAATCATAAAGTGAGTTAGGAAGTGGACCATCTTTTTAGTCAAATCTTTGATTCTGTTGGTTAGAAAGCTGGGGCTCAGAGAAGACACATAAATTACTTAACTCTGTAAATTGTCTCTTAATAATCATCTGAGAGTTTTGTTATATGTACACGTTCTTAAAGATAAACTCTATTAATTGACCTAAAAAAATTATGTTCTCAAGATTCAAACTCAAATTACTGAACCAGAATCTCTAGAATCTTCAGGAAATTCTTATGATGAGGCAAATAGAAAACAACCAAATGAAACGCAAGCAATTTTTCCTACAATCCAGCTATTTTGTTAAATATAGGGCATTTAACAGAGTAGGCATATACCATATGTCACCTCCCTTCATTTAAATATACAAATCATTTACTAGTCAACACCTTCCCAGTTTATTAAGTTAACCACTATTAAAATATTGAAATATTTCCATTAACTTTTAATTTATGTGAAGTCATTTTCTACTCTAGTCTGGGCTCTAGATTGGAGAAGAGGTTAGAGTTATGAAATACCATTATTATCCTATTTTAGGAACGAGAAACACTGAAGGACAGAAAGGCTGGGTGCCATAATTCAAACCAAGGCAGTCTGCCTTCCAACTCCATGATCTGAACCACTCTTTTACAACCTAAAAGTGTTCTCCAAGTTTTAACGTCTCACCTGTATTTTAAGTAGGCTTCATGCCCAGGGTAGAGCCCAACGTGGGGCTTGAACTCATGACCCTGAGATCAAGATCTGAGCCAAGATCAAGAGTCTGATGCTTAACCGACTGAGCCACCCAGGTGCCCCTGCTGTTTGTTTCTAATTTGCAGGTCAAAACTATCAAAAAAGAAGATCCCACATTCCAGGCAGCAGATTCACACGAAATAACTCTGGGTAATACTTGAGAGCTACTACATGACCAAGCACTCAGGTTATGTAATCATGGGACTCAGCTAAATTCAGAAGCTGAATGAAACAGCTTTGTCTGGTGACAGGTGCTATCTGTTCCGTAGCCCCTGCCACCACTAATCTACCTAGGCTGGTCCTATCATTTTCTCCTGGAAAATGTGCAAGGCCACTTTTCCCTGGAATCTAACAGATGGTAAATTCTTGGTGTCGACACCCAAATACTAAGCTTTCTTATTTTTTTCTTTACAAAATCAACTATTCTTTTTTGTTAAAAAAAATGTTTTTAATGTTTATTTATTATTTTTGAGAGACAGAGACAGACAAGAGTGTGCAGGGAAGGGGCAGATAGAGGGAGACACAGAATCCAAAGCAGGCTCCAGGCTCTGTGAGTCAGCACAGACCCTGAGATGGGGCTCAAACCCACGAGCCATTAAATCATGACCTGAGCTGACGTCAGACGCTTAACCAACTGAGCGAGCCACTCAGGAGCCCCAGAATCAACTATTCTTAAAGTCCATTCTATCTACATAATTTAAGAGAATTGAATATGGCCAACAGGTCCTAACAAGTTGTTACTGCAATGTTTTGGGTCCTCTTATTTAAGAACTAAGTGAGAAGAAATTCAGTATAGCCACATTAGATGTAATCATATACACATACTGTTTTCTAACAGGATAACATTTTCCCTTCTGGCAAAAGGATGCTCATACAATCTCACATATGCACCCTAATGGCATCGGAGCATAAACAGTGTCTTAACTTCTAGAGTACTGTTTCCAAAAAAAAAAATCCATTTTAGTGTTTACCCTACACAACATGCAGATATCCATAAAGACCTTCCACACTGATTATGAAAATCTTACAAGGAATTATTTTATTTTTTAATGTTTATTTTTGAGAGAGAAAAGTGGGGGAGGGTCAGAGAGAGAAAAGTGGGGGAGGGTCAGAGAGAGGAGGAGACACAGAATCCAAAGGAGGCTCCAGGCTCTGACCTAGCTATCAGCACAGAGCCCGACACGGGGCTCGAACTCACAAACTGTGAGATCATGACCTGAGCTGAAGTCGGACGCTTAACCAACTGAGCCACCCAGGCACCCCTACAAGAAATTCTTAACATGCATCAACTAGTTCATATACTAATTTCTTTACATGATCACTGTCTGAGTTTTCATTTCGGTGGGAGTTGCTATGTACAAGAGAGGTGGGAAAAGCATTTCTGCCACAAGAAGATGAAGGCAATCACCTGTGGCATGTCTCTGTTACTACAATTACTGCTAAAGCCCCCGGAAAATCCGTCAAGGCAAAAGAGTTCAGCAAAATAAAAGTCAGATATTTGGTAAATGCTAAGGAAAGTAACAACAACCTCATTAACAAAAATTTTAAGGGCTAAGTCTTCATATAGGGTAACACTTACACTTTGAAACCTGTCAGCTTGGCAAGAAATAGAACGCTTCCATCTCGTGAATGAAAGGGAAAAATCAAGGCAAGCATCCTTGGAAAAACCCACTAAGAAACACGGAAAAGGGACAAGTGGCAAGGGGGCTGAAATTAACTGCATATATACTAGAGGACTTCTGGATTTGAAAGCACTGAAGAATTGCAGTAGCTCTTGCTCTTGGGCTACAATGACAGCAAAATCTGGTTCCCCTTCCTGCATGAGAACGAGAGCGAGGTCTCCCAGCCTGCTTTCCTCATGCTGACCTAGTGGTCTCCCCCCCGTGCTTCCAGGCTGTCTTCAGCTCAAACAGCTCACAGGCCAGAGGAACTTAAGATAATACATTTTAGTCTATGGGTGGATGGAATAAATCATGGGAGAGAAAAGTTCTAATGAAGGCATTTTTGCCTGAAAATAAAAAAAATCCATAAATGACTAGCTTGAGGGAGAAGTACATCTTTTGCCTTAAAAGACTAGCTATGGGCGTATGGATGGCTCAGTCAGTTAAGCATCCGATTTAGGTCATGATCTCACAGTTCAGGAGTTTGAGCCCCCTGTGCTGACAGCTCAGAGCTTGGAGCCTCCTTTGGATTCTGTGTCTCTCACTCTCTGCCCCTCACCCACTCTTTCTCTTTCTCTCTAAAAATTTAGACATTTAAAAAAATTAAAATAAAAAAAGACCAGCTGTATTTACAGTAAGCTTCCCCCCATTCTATTAAATACATAAAACCTTGACTAAAGATTGGCTTATTTCTCTAGCATAAACACAGAAAAGGGTTAACTTCATTTTTTAAGAGAAAAAGACAGTCACCCTCTGACTTGGAAGAAACCAAATCTCTCTAGTTGTGGCTTTTGGTCTAATTCCAACACATCTGGTTTTCAGCAACCATGGGGGGAGGGATGAAGGAAAAGATACCCAGTATGAAGTACCACAAAAGTGTAGTCAACAAGCTTGTTGGCAATTAACAAATTACTTTTACTAATAGTTGATAAATTCAGTTCTATAATGTAGCTTGCAATCTATCAGTGTGTAAAACAAATTTTCCATTTTCTTCCTTATAACACAGAGAGGTGAAACTGATATGTAGGAATTACACCTAGAAGTGTGAGAACTGGATTCCTCCGTGAACCACAGTCTTGAAATGTTTCTTCTATCTCTGGTTAACTTAGTTTGCTCCTACTTCTGTACCTAAAGTATGTGCCTGACATCCTCTATCTTCTGTCAGATAGGATCTGTCACACTTATTTCCTGAAAATTTGCTTTAATGTAGTCACTGATAAAATGCCAGACTGATACTACTTACTCTTGGTGTTTTACCAAGCAATGACCCATATAGAGCAATATGAGAATGACCTCCTCAGAGATAGGGTTTCTGAAAAACTTTCAGGAATTGAAAGGTTTACCCCAAATTCTATAGTCTTTCCTTCAAGTCCTAAAATCAACCACATTGGTATTCTAGGCTCAAGAGCTCAAATGTTATTTATATTGGTTATTTTCGATTATAAAACCAAAATAACATATCACATATAAGGAACAAAATTGTTCTTTTTCAATTTTTTTTAAAAATTTTATTTTAGAGAGAGCAAGCATGAGTGGGGAAAGGGGAAGAAGGAGAGAGAGAATCT